TTTAAATCAGGGACAGAGGACTTTTTTTTCACAAGGGCTACACATGACATCTATGCTTATGTTCAACTTAATAAATTTAGTAGACATGATTGATTAGCTTAAAGGCTATTTGCCGGCCCTGAAGGGCGAAGACCTTTTCTCTGAAAACAACAACCTTCTGTTAGAAAATGTTGACTGCTTAGGTATAAATTTGTTGCACAATCATAAGATTACTTACATAAATGCAGTATCAGCTTTTAAATTAGGCTACATCTTGTTAATTGGTATGCATTGCATGAGCCAATAATGAATGATTATGTTATGAACATGGACTCGGGCTGTTTTTATATAATGGTAATGAATAATTCGAGACTGCCACAACAATCATAAGTGGTGCATGCTCTGTTGTATTTCAGGTAAACAGCAATACACACTCATTGCAATCATTCACAATGGTATTCATTAGCATAATGCTGCCTTTTGTTTGATTTTTGAGGGGAGGTGTAGCGATGAAAATGAAAGGAGAACATTACCATTTCCACACAGAGGGAGCAGTAGTTGGTGGCCTCGTTCTTAATGTAGATGTTCATCAGAGGACTCGGTTTACTGCAGCTGTCGCAGGGGCCAAAAGTGGCCGCCACGAAAGTCTGGTCACACATGGCTGCAGAGGATCACCAGCACACCTGCAGAAACCCACAAGACACACACATAAAGATGACTTTAATCATCAGGATTACATGTTGGAGGGTTTTCTTTGTGGCTCTTCTGGTTTCTTTTCTCAGCTCTGACCACTTGTCTTGTTTTGCGTTTGTGTGTGTGGAGCTGTACAGAAGATAAGCAGCTGGTAATCTACTCCAGCCTGATCCTCCTCTGAGGAGAGAAGCTATTCTGGGAACCACACACATCCAGCAACACCGAGTTCACAGCAGTGCATGATAAAGGACTTCCAAATCTGAACTAAATATGGTCATCCAAAATATGGATCAACATTTTATCGCTTCCCTACACAATTATATACATTTAAACTGAAACTCAAACACTTTCCCTCATTTATAATGAATTATCATTTCATGTCATTGGCTTTCCATGACAGTATAACTCATATAATGAGTAAATAATGTATATATAGAACAGCATAGTGTCATATTGGTAGATTGCATTGAGAAGTTTGCACACAAACTCAAAAAAGTTCGTTTTCATTTGAACTTCTTACCGTCCTTTGATATGTGATGTAATCACATATCAACTTTCTGCTTAAGTTGTCCTTGATCTTTTGTATCAAGTGTCTTAATCATTTGGATACATTTAAATACCCAATACGGTCTTTGATGATTTTATCTAAACTGCAGAGTCAAACATCTAAAACACCAGCTTCCAGTCAGTCCACACAGATAGCTGCCATATCAACAAATAACAATAAATCTTACCTTACAAAATACTTTTTCCCCTCTGTAGAGCAGCTGCTTGTCTCTGGAGATCTAAGTGGATGTTTTCTAGTGAAGAGGATTGTCAGTGAGGGACAGAGAGGGAATGGTAAGCTTCTTAGTGAAGCATTTAAGCCCCAACTCTGCTCTGCTTTTACCACCATGCTTTATACACTCCTGCAGCATTACCTGTAAGGCCTGGGAGGTTACTCTTACTGTGTAACCCCAGTGCATTAGTCTTTTGGATCACCACCAGCTGCACAATTACTTTATGGCACCAATTTACCAGTTATAAGCACAACCGGATTTGCAGAGGGTTTTACAGAAAAAGTGAAAATATTTCAGTGAGCAGCACTTCTGTGGGTGAAAATGTCTCATTAATGTCAGAGGACAATAGCTGGAGTGCTTCCAGCTGATAGGAAGGCAACAGTAACTCAAACAACCACATGTTACAACTAAGGTATGCAGAAGAGCACGTCTGAATGTTCAATGTGTTGAACTTTGAAGCAGAAGGGGCCCTCAGTATCAGCTGGTATCAGTTGGCCATCATTTAAACCCACAGTCTGATCACTTATTTCAGAGTGAAAACACACCTTCTGATGACTGCTTCCAGAAGGTTGACTCACCGTGTCATGAAGCTCAAATCATTTAAAAGTGTTTTTAGACTGTGACAGGGAGTTCAGTGTACTCAAATGGGCTCCGAAGTCACAAGATCTCAGTCCAGTAGAGCACTTTTTGGGAACCGATTTGCACCACGGGTCAGCTGACATCTGCAGTAAATTGTGTGTGATGATGTGATGCCATCATGTCAATATCAAACAAACTCTGAGGAACGTTTTCAGCAGCTTGTTGAAACGGTGCCACAGAGAATTAACACCAAGCCAAGTGGGTACTAGCGAGGTGTAACTAATGAAATCTGCTGTTCAGCAAAATATTGATTTGAGTTTAAGCATAATAAACATTTTTGTTCATCAAAAGCTCAGAAAGTACAGTACCCTCAACAGATTAAAGGCAATAACATCTAAATGAAATCAGGGAAACTGTGTATAAACCTTCCAATTTTCAGGTTTTGTGCTTTACCTCAGAAATCAGACTGCTTCACCCCCCAAAAGAAAAAAACAAAAATTCCACATCTTATTTTGTTTCATGATTACGTTTTCCTAAAACAACCCAAAACTCTCAAAAATAAGAAACACGGAAACCCAAACAGTGCGGAATTCTTTTATTTTACTTTTACAGATTTGACAATTTATTCCAAGTTTCTTAACAGTGAACACATTCACTAAGCACAGCTACCAGAAACTACAAACAGTCCAGTTTTTCCAAATGTACACATGGGATCGGAGAGGAAACATCTGGTACCGGCTTCAGCATGTTCACACCAGTACCTCAAGAGCTGGGGAGGGGATGTATCTCTTTTTAAGTTAGTTTTGAACATTTCTTTAAAACGGCACAATTTATGCTAGTGCTGATGAGAACAATGGTAATTTATAATGTCTGAGTCATATCATACAGCCGATTCTCTCTTTAGTATGGAAATGCAGAGTGAATGAATGACATATTTCTCCTGTTTGAGAGCCCAAGAGAAGCCCAGGGGAACAAGATGCTGCAGCAGCTCTGCTCAACTAAGAAAGTAACACGAACCACTGAATGAATGAAGATGCTTTTTGTTTTTACTCTGAAACTAGCTAATCCTTTGCAGTGTCCTCTGACTCTGAGCTTCATCTCTGACACCTGTGCCACACATCAGCTTATAATGTTAACAAAGAGATGTTAGTCAGTCAGGACATTACCTAGAGGAAGGTCAACAGGCTGCACTTGTGTGAAAAGAACGGGGAAGTTTGATGGATTTCTTTTTACAGTCCATACCCATCTATCGTTTATCAGATTTCCTCTGCAGTGTTGAAAAAAAGTTCATTTTGATGTCTGTGACACCAACTGCAGGACCGAATGACACGCAATCAAAATAAAAAACACATTTCTATTCATTTTACAGTGAAAGAAAAAAAAAATACTGCACTGACAGAACAAAACAATGCCATAATGTTCGTTGATCATGTATGTAAGTCATTCAGATAGCAAGTGATTCAGATAAGGCTTGGTCTACAATGTGCAGCTAAAAATCATGATACACTTCAACGTTTTTAAACATTCATATAATTGATTAACTCCTTCAGTAACCATCTTTCTTACGACTACAAGATATGTTCTCTTTGCACACAACATACACTAAACCAACTACAAATCCAACCAATAGAACAAAAACATGGTCCCAGGAAAGTGCAACACAAAATAGCTTTACATAATTACTCCACTTAAAATTAGAGTTTGGCATTCGTACGTCACCTTGATAGTTTTTTCCCCCTCTGAATGTAAATTTTACATCCTTGAAAAGGTTTGAAAAATTTAAATCAAAACTGCAGAATCCAGTTCATGTGTGTAAGGAGAAAATATTCCATCAAAGTGAAATGTGTTTTTTGAAAGGGTAAGGTCACCGCGCAAAATAAGGGTCACATCAAGGCGAGAGGCAGCTTAATACTAACGGTACAACAAGGAGTAAACTAGAAGTGCCAAATGACGAGGCAGCGAACGAAGGAAAAGCTGTTTTCACACACAAACTCTGAATAATGGCTGGTGAATCGGGTCACTGCATCCTTTTACTTCTTTTCCACTGTGCCCAGTCTAAACTGGTTTTATACGTTTTCTCAAAAAGCACTTGTGCCCAACCCCAACCAGTGATGTCAGTGAATATAGGAGGAGCTATCACAAGAAACTGACCAATGACTGGCCTGATTTCTTCACATGGAAATGACCCAAAATCTGCTGGTAACACTGCATAATAACGGTTTCTCACACCTGCTGAAATGTGAGCTTATTCTCGGAACTGTTTTCACATCAGCACTGGTTCCAGTACTGCTGCCCACGTAAGTGGGAAAAGGGGATTTTGTTTAGGTGAGGATGCCACCTGGGTAATGTAGGAGGTTGGACATGATACACCCATTTAGCTCCTTTTTTTAACGTGAGCTGGCAGGTTAAATATATTAAATATCTCATGCAACTCTTCTCACAAATCCAGCAGATGCATGTGTGAAAACTACTTCAATCCCAACATGGGCAGATTACCAGACACTCGTCCGACACTTCACCTGTGCCTGGGTTTCTCTTCTTTAAAATCAAAAGCATGCACTTGGATTTTGCCAAACCCATGCAGTTTAAGTGGGGGCAGCAGGAGTAGCAGTGCATGCAAGCAAACAATCTGAGCTGAAAGAACATGTGCACCAACAACAAAATGACAAAAAACAAAACTTCTTTGTCACCCTTAACCCAGCTGTGAAACTGAGAAGAGGAATAAATGAACACATTCTGTTTTTCTGGTAATAAAAGTCCACGTTGGGACATGCTGAGTGAAGGTGGACGGGTAGGAGATGTAAGAGGAGTCGAACAGAGCTGTGTTTGTGAGAGGATGCAGCAGAGGGAATGTAAAGCTCAACAGATTTTTGCAGCCTTTTGCATCTATTCTGCTCAGTAATACATGGCTTTAGATTATTTTAAGAAAATAACAATACTGAACAAAGTAAATAATCACACAATGACAACAGTAAAACATTTTTATGGCTCTGAGCCAGATGACAAGAAAAAAAAAACAGTAAGCAGAGTGTAAGGTTGGTACTCATACAGTATGTGTTCATGTCAGTGTTTCCTGTGACGCTCGGCTTTGGTCACAGCTGTAAACGGTGCAGACTGTCGCAGGTTAAAACCCTTTGCAGAGTTTGAACCTTAAACCTTCTCAATCTGTCCTCGCCTATAAAACCTGTGCTACACTTCATCTGCCAGACATGCAGGCTAAACATGACAAAAAAAATATCTCAAGGTTTAAGACGCGACCTAACAAATAATTATCTGTGCCGGCACTCATTAAAGATACTACATATTTACCTGATATTGACATAATAGCCAAGGAAGCAACTAAAACTGTCTCTAAGAAGCTGTTTGCTGTGGGAAAGAGTGGTCCCATCCTTCACTTCGGACACATTCGCTGCAAGGGGGAAGCTTCTAATCTTAAAAAGGGATGTAGCTATAAGTGCAATAAATAAAATACAGGATATATATTATTCATATTTATATAGATATTTATTTATGTATAAATAATATAGTACAGATGATGAATTTTGTCTTGGCTTGATGTGTTCAGAGAATAAAACGTACAAAGTGAAATCTGCTCAGTGGTCACCTCAACACGGGGTGGAGAGAGCGCTGACTTTTTCACCTCATCATTCAGCTGCCCTCACACAGGAGCTCAGAATTGACCCAACATGAGGGCAGACTGCTAGACTGACAAATCATAACTTGTTTTGAGGCTTCAGCTCCACCTGGTGGGCCTGCTCTCGTGTATCGAGACAATAACAACAACAACAACAACAACTATCTTAACGATTACTGGAAACGCAGATGAAGGATCGATGGCGAGTACTGGAGGCATTGATCTGGTCCTGTGGCTTCTCTAAGAGGCGGGCGTTTTGTACAAGCAGCAGATGATGCTCAGGGCTTACGGCCAGATTTAAACCAGCGGAAATAACCACATGTGTGCGTATCTGTGCGTTCGTGAAAGAGAGAAGGCGAGTGTGCGTCTGTACGTTCGGAGGATGAAAGTACTTTACAGATGTGACGTGTCTGCATTTTTCATGTACGTGCGCGCATGTCTGAGTTTAAACTAGAGAAACTGCTGAACCCTTTCACCCGTTTATTTAAACATGACTTCAAATCGTGTTAACGTGAGTGAAATTTGCGAGTGTTTGTGGTGTTTTAAATTTTTCGGGGAGACGGTGACTTGCAAATCCGACTGTGGCCACTAAGACAAATTCGCCGCGGGGCTCAGAGTGCTCTGGTGGGCTCGCATTAGACACGGGTGAGGAAGGCCAAGTTGAGCGAGCTGGGGATCTGGATGGTTTCCAGTGCGAGGCAAGAAGGGTTAAACGGGAAGGTGACGGGATAGATCATCTTCGTGTCCATCAACAGCTGGGGACTCTCACAGCGGTCCCGCAAGCGAGTCTGGAGAGAGAGATGATGGAAAAAGTTCATGTGCATTAAAAAAAAAAAAAAAAAAAAAAGGTAGTAGACAGAAAATATATTAAGCCAGTCTGTTTGAAGACTCGACAAGTAAGAAAAGTTATCTTGGTGCAGAATCGATTGCATGAAGTTCGTAAATACCGATCAGTGCAGTGACTCAGATCTGAGAGGACCCTTGAGCTCAACATAGTGCCTATGGGAAGTGTCAGGGAACTGTACTTGTTATCAAATGTACAGCTCTCTTATTACAAGATAGCTACAACTAAAAAGTAACCTGTTACTTTAAAAATAAATTATATAAACACCGTCTTTGCAATTATCTATCCAGCTACTGTACATCGACTTTACTTCACTTCACAGTGAGTCGATCTTGGCAGCGCCCCATAAACAACACACAAACAAGCGCATTCATTTCCATCAGAGCGACGGCTTTAGGCAAAGCCAAAGCTAGCAGTTGTGGTTTTGGAGCTGTAGCTACATATCATTCTCTTCCTCACCAGCATTGTTGCGAATGTAGTTTTAACTTGACGTTACTTCTGACATATTTCTCTCACATGACATATATTAGCACAAAGGAAACTGAATATAAAAGCCATCCCCATCCAATGCTGACCTTAACATGCACGCTGACACTGGATGCATTCATCTCTGCAGCTGTGTTGCTTGGCGTTTCAGTTACTCAAGCAGAACAGAAGTTTCTGTTTATCAGATGCCCAGAAACGCCAGAAAAATGCTGATGTTTTTCAAAGCAGCACACATTCATTGCCTTTACGGTACATGCACTAGTTAACAACAACAGGTGTCTCAAAGACCTCACAATATTAGTGACAAAACCCAAACAATCAGACAGTTTTCTACGAGTGACCGCTTTGAGGAAGAACTTCCTTTTAACAGGAAGATAACCCGGGCAGAGCCAGCCTCACTCAGCTGCAGCTTGCCTGGAACCAGAAAAAAAATGACCCCAAAACACTGAAGATAAAGCAGTATAGACTTGATTTAGCCAAAAAAGAAATTACCTGTATGGTTCGTATGAATGCGACTGACACTCTCTCCTCAAACTCGTTGACGGGGGTGTAGAGGTTCAGAACTTTTACGATCTGAAAGACATAAGACAGAAAAGTTAAAAACACAGAAAGAGAAAGGTTTTAGCTGAAGCTTTAGCTGATAATAATTTTAAAAATATTTTACCTGAGAAGTGGTGAGAGCGTGGCACATGGAGCAGATGGCCTCTGCATCCTCGTCAGTCTTCTTCTTCACCTGCAGCAGCTGAGCGGCCTGGATCAGAGGCTCCAGCGTCTCTTTGGCTCCGCAGGTCATCAGACCTTTGTCTCTGAGCCACTCCTCCAGCTGACTCACGTTGTACCTGCAAACACGCATGATGAGATAACGCATCCGGCCTCACTCTGGAGATCTTCTCTGAGCAGCGACACCTCATACCTGATCTGCATGCCTTTGCTCCAGGAGCACATGTCTTTGCGTAGCAGCAGGTTGTTGAGTGTGACAGCGCCGATGATGTAAAACTGCTGCTTCACCACCTGCTTGATGAGCTCAGGGTCGGTGCCGTGCTGGCACATGGTGGAGTGGAAGGCGCTGAGCTGTCGCAGGATGGAGTCCAGGGTGTAGGTGCCCTCGTCGGCAATGCTTGACGTCCGTTTACGCAGACCCGTGGGCTTAACTCCCGACACGCCCTGAATGGTCTCGTGCTCCAACATGCCAGAGACTGAGGAAACACACGCACACGGGAGGTGTATAAGTACATGTGCTCTACCCGCTTGTTAAATGATGACCAACCGACCCTGATTATAAGTTCAACCCTCTCAGCATGTACTTACTTCTTTTGCATCGAGTCTTGTGAAAACTATATGTTAGCCCAACTACATCTCTGTAGCTAGCTGTGGGTGCCTGAACATTTTATGGCAACTTCCTAACTTCACCAACCATCTAAAATCTTACTATTTTTAAATCCTCGTCTATAATTACATTTATAGCAGTAAAATTATAGTATCACATGGATTTATTTCAGAAATTCCTCAGCTAGAATTCAGCATTTTTTCTTTATTTTGATAGCTTACAGTTATGGCTAACTCCTAACTGCACCTCGTAAATCCTCTTTTTCATGGATGCGCAACTGTAACATCAGTAAGAGCAGATACAGTGAGTACTTTGGACCATATTGAACTGTCAAAGGTGTCTTAAAGCTTGTTTGCATAAAAGAACCAAAGGAGCAGGAAATTACTTATCAAGTGACACACACACATCACATGTACAGGGACAAACCTATCATGGGCTGGAGGATGTTCTCCATGCATTTGATCAGCTGCTGGTAGATCTGGATGGCCAGGTCGCTGATCACTTGTCTGTACTCTGCGAGGTCGAAGTTGGACAGACAGTGCTCGTTCTGCCTCGACGTGTTGTGCTTCATGAATTGCTGAGACAAGCACAGAAAACAATGTGTCAGAGAAGGTGAACGATGTCAATATTAATCCACGACACAGTCGGTCAATACAAAAAACAAAAACAATCAAAACAACAGCTTGTTACGTCAAGCTTTATATTTTTTGTCCTTTTGGTCATTTTTAACAGATTAGTATATAAAGGACTGTAACAGCAAGATAATAAAAGAGATTCCTTCTTTCCCGAATATCTAAATACAGTGATACCAGATGTCTTATTGAACTGACTAGAAAAACCGTGTATGTGCTGGAATGGGACATTTTCTGTGTTTTGTGTATTGTTGTTGGCCTCACTTCGTCTCCGCTGTACTGTTTCAAACAGTGCAGGAAGCGGCAGGTGTTGGCCAGCCAGAAAGAGACGGTCTCAAAATCATCTCCTCGTTTCTGATGAAGAAGAAAACATCAGCAGAAGTTTGTGTTCACTGCAGAACCTTTTTTAGTTATCTAACGCAAAAAAACATCCAAAAATTTTAATTTAAGAACAAAGGAGCTGGAAACGCAAAATGTGAACTTCATTCAAATATTAAAAGCATACGTACCTTTAAGATCTTTTTAATGCTGTTGATGGTTGACGTGAGCAGAGTGCGGACCTTCTGGTCATCGTTGACGTAGTCTGCATGTCTCAGACACATGAACAGGATGTAGGCTGGCAGACCTGGGATCAGATTCACTGCTACACCACGAGGTTTTAGTTCTGGAGAGATGGAGGAGGGGTGAGTTTATTTGTAGATTTTATTTTGTGCAAACCGTGAATTGAGGCTTCAGTTTCCAGGGAGTTTCAGTAATTTCAGGACTCCTTTCCATCTACTTTAATGCTTTAGATAGTGGACTATATCATTAATTCTAAATTCATACCCAGGATGAGGTTCTTAACCAGTTTCATTTCATCCTCCTTCTTGTACTCTAGCATTCCCTGGAAGTCTTTCTCCCTGCGAGGAATGTTGACAGGGTGGATCGGCTCATCCACCATCTGTCCCGGAGATGTCTGGCCTTCGGTTTGACCGGCTGGAAGAAGCATGGCATGTGACAGTCAGCTGACATGTGGTGGAAACGAGCATATATGAATAGAGATTTTCAGGCTTCGGTTTTTCTCGCTTTACCTCCCATCTCTCCAATCCTCTTGGAGTAAACTTTCAGCTGCTTCTTGAGCTTTCGGATTGTTCTGTCCTGCTTCTCTAGCTGCTCCATTAGATCCTAAAAACACAGCGAGGGACACAGAGGAGAGAACAGTGAGGACTAACAGACAGCATCATCAGACACAGACCGCTTTGCAATGTCGCCCTCCAGTGGCTACAAGGAGGAATCCTACTCTTCTGTTAGTGGCTTTGCAGTGGACATCAGCTCAAACACGGAAATCAAAAGGTTAGAAGATGAAGAGAAAAGAATTAAAAAACTTCCTTGGTGTGATTTATAAATCAACATTAGTGCTGCCGTACTGGTTTTTGTTTTGGGGGGTTTTTTAAGAGGAAGATTGCAGGATTTTTTGGCTGTTAGGAAAAAGAAGAAGGCGCAGCGCTGCTCCGCTGTGAGTTACAAGACACTGTTGCAGAGAATTAGAGCGACACCCTGCAGCATTTCATTCAGAACAATCTCAGTTAGTCAGAAACGTGCAAACACGCAGGCAAACACACACGCGGTCTCTACATACAACCATCCGCCGTAAAATGACGACTCGAGCCTCTCGGGATGCCGTGGGGTCGTCTGCCATGAGTTCCTGTCAGGTGACACCATCCACACAAATGAGCGTGTGGGACGCAGCTCTGTAGCGGCTGGTTTAGTTTGTGTATGTATGGCCATGAAAGTGACTCAAATCACACAGTCGAAATGCTGTTATTCACATTTCTACCACTGGAAGAGTTTTTAGCCGTGGTCTTATTATTAGTGATGTAACGTATTAGTCAAATGAGCTGTGGCCATCTTTACGGATAGTGTAATATCCACACTGTTGACCGTCCCCCAAAGTCTTCGTAGTCCCAGTTTTCTCAAACCGTGGGGTGGAATGATTATTTCAGAAGCGTTGGTTGGGGGTGTGACCTTTTCTCAGTGGTGTGTGGTAATGTATTTACAGCAAATTAAAATTATTCTGTGGGTTTTTGGCCTGTTAATAATAAATAATGTGATTGCAGATTTAATATGAGTGTAAGATATACAAATTGTCTGTAGCTGTCAGTAGTTATATGGATATATATCAAGAAAAGTTTGTGTATACACACACCTAAAATCCATTCTTAGGTGTGTGTATAAGTGTGTTGTTTTTATTTTTATCATTTAAAAATTATGCTGAATTTGTGAGACAAAGTTTAGCTCCTCCCCGTATCTGTGTGTGGAAGCTGCAGCGTACCAGGTTCTCGTTGGTGAGCCGGGTGATCTCGTGTTGCAGACTGGCTTCGATTCTGGCCTCTGGAGGCAGCTGCAGATTCTGGGCTAAGAGCTGCTGCTGCCGGTTGTTCTCCTCCTTGACGTTCTGCAGCTCGCTGCGCAACGACTCCACCTCATTATCATAAGTCCTCCGCTGAGTCTGCAGCTGGTGCTCCAGTAGCCTGAGAGAGGTAAGAGAGAAAGAGACAGAAATCAGCATCATACTGTGAGGGGGAGAAAGGCAGTGAGACGCCCAGTGCAGAAGGGAAAGAGAAGCTGTAGTTTCCACCAGAAAGTGGTGATTGAGGACAGCAGCAGCATGCTGTGCAGACACTACCAGCAGCCCAGAGTCCAGCCTTTCTGAACAACGCTCATTCATTCTCCTCCTCTCTTCAGAGTAAAAGTTTCTCTGAGGAAAACTGAACCGAGCCAAATCAGTACTCAGAGATCAGGCTCAGGAACGGAGCAGGTAGAGCTGACAGAGGTTCAGTTTTCATTCAACAACCAACATGCAGTATTTCTATCTTTTTATGAAAACGACAGTAGCAGTTAGTACAACAGGAGCACTTCATACGCTTTATTAAAAAAGAACTTTGACTGCCTTTCTTGGTGGATAGACATTGTTTTTCTGTTTTTCCATCAATTTCTCTGATGCAATCCTTTCTTGCTGATGCCTTTTAGGAATCAGTCATTTTATGTACTATAGTTTATACAATGACTTCTATTCTTTTACTAGTTTTTATGATCCAATTGTTTTTCTGCATGCATAAATCATTTTATAATACATCTGTACGAAGACGATTAGCAGATATTTCTTCTTGAGAGTTTGTCCAACCAGTCTACATGTGTTGACTGGTTGGAGAAGACATTCGCCCACATTCCTCGAGGTGTCCTGTGCTTTGGGAATATGGGGCTATCGGCTCTGGTGGGGATTGAACTCGTGTGCAGCCGCCTGTTTGTCACTGATCCTAAACCGTTTTTAAGGTTATAGTAGTCTGGGTTTTATTTCTAAAACTTGTTAAAATATTCCTCTGGATGTATTTAAAGTACTGCACGCACACACATCACAGTGCAACCCCCTCAGAGAAAAATAACTGCTCCATGACACTACCAGACCTCTCAAGATTTAAAGGCAAACACTGTAAAAAATAAAAAGCATGCAGAAAGTGATTAACCTCAGTCAATGTCTGTGAACAACACTTAAGAGTTTTTTTCACAGCTTTTTAACGATAGTAAGCAGTTATTGAGGAAACACTTGAGTGGATAAAAATTTCAGCCCATCTAAGTTCACAAGCCGAAGGCATCACAGCATAAAAGGAAGAAAAATTCCACGGTCAACTGACATTTAACAAGCTTTCATAGCTGCATAAAACATGGTTAGTACAGTACGAAGACAAATCCTGCTTCACTGTCAGAAATAAATCTAGAAACTCAAACCAAAGCTTTGCATCAGTGACTGTACATTACACAACACCTAAAGAAAGTTTTACATTATAGCACCCTGCGAAGTGTGTGGCAGAAACAATAAGGAAGACAAATAATCAGAAGGCAGTCAAAATAAACAGACTGATGTGAGAGAAATGAAGTGTGAGAGAGAAACGTGAGCGAAGAAAACCAACGGGTCACATCCTTTCCCGTGAAAAAAGGCAAACGTGTCATGCTCAAAAACACTGTTAAACCTGATGGTCTCCTTCAAGCCCTGATTAACCAGCCACAGCTCTCCGTCCTCATTCAGCTTACGTAAGTCTGGAGCAGCAGATCTGACCGACACACAACACAAAGCAACATGAACATTACAATGGCACAAAGAAACGTGATCGGGTGAGCGGGACCACATGAGCAAGAATATTTATCTGAGGTGTGATAACATCCTGCATCTGGTCTTCAACACAAAATAACAATAATACTAATTTGTGTGATGTCATAAAGTTAAAGGAAGAAAATCTGTAAAACCTGATGTACTGATGATGTGTGAAGTCCTATTTCTGACTCAATGCATTTCAGTAATACATTAAAGTGCACCTATTCCGCTCGTTTCTAACCCCTTCTGTCTTTTACAACAGCTGCATCGATCTTGCCGCCTCATTAACAAGGTTAGAACAGCAGGTGGCGCTTCTCTGCCTGAAATGACCAAATTAGAGATAACTACTTTCACAGGGATCACAAAGAGTAAAAAAGACAAAGGAACATCTGGAACAGAGCCCTTAGTGTCAAACCTGAGATTATGGTTCACAGAGATGAGATGGACATATGCAGACCTCCTTACTGTAACAGTATGTGCACAACAGAAAATAAAGAAAAAGTCCACTTTAATCATTTATTCAACCACTGCAGGCAACAGTGGTATAAATCTACTGATGTGAATTAGCAGAATTTATATGTGTGTGAGTGAATGAGTTTGTTCTTGCATTTACTGAGTGATCCAGTGACCGAACTTTGTAGTCAGTGGAAACAGAAAAGGTCAAGAAATGGGACACAAACAGAGGGAAGAATGCAGCGATACAAAGTTGAACTTTTAGGGAAGCTCTACTGTAAAACAACATTGTCGCTGTAGATATTTATAATCTGACCTCATTGATCTTATCAGCTGTCAAACATTTGGCCTCATTCAATAAAATGTGCATGTGTTACTGTGCACAGTAATGTTTAAACTTGCAAGATTACTTTCAAATTTAGCTCCCGCCGCCTCCGTGTGCAAATCCAAATCATTCTATATTGAATGGCATGTGGCTGTTTTTTGCCGTCTAGAAACTGTCATACTCCGTTTCTCTATGAAGTCGAGAGTGAAAAGGGAAGCACGGTTGCTAAAAAAACAAAACAAAAAAATAAAGGGAGTGAGAGCTTTCAGGTAGAAGCCAGAGAAGGCACACTTTTCTGAAGTGTTTCCTTAGGAGTGAAAAGCTTGGACTGCAATAGCCGAGGCAGTAAATATTGTGTCTCCAGAGACTCGGAGTGAAAGGTGACACGGGCAAAAGTTTCGACATCAGAGCTGCTGTGAAAACTTGGAAACAGACCAGAAGAAAAAGGAGGCAACGGTGAAGGACGAGCACCACCTGATCCATCACCCAAAGCCATTTATTATGCCGAAGTAGCATTTAGTAAAGAGGCGATGTTAACTGTCAATTAGGATGATCTCTATTAAATTAATTGTGCCAAATATGCTTGGATTATTTATTTTTTAATAAAGCCACCCTAATATGCTTTCGGCAAAAATGTGTGAGACAGAAAGGCCCTCATGATAGTCTGAAGCTGCTGTAAACCAGCTTTCAGGAAAAAAAAATATGGATGAATTTGGGATTTCTGCACGAAACGTTTGAAATGTTCACGCGCAGATTTGTGAATGAGGCCTAATGTCTGCACTGTTCTGAAGCCAGTAAAATTATTATGAGGAAAAGTAAATTGACTTAACATTTTAAAATACAGAGATTGTAACATTTTACCCTTTTCCATTTTAGTTGTGCACACAGACTGTATATAAAAGATGGAAGCCCTGCTGTGACGTGTTTTGGACTTTACTATCTTCGTGTTTTGAAATTGGATGAGCAGGGGTCAAATCTAATTAACCCTTTAAAGCCTGAACCATTAAATAATAATTACCAGAAAATTTACATTTTTTGAAAATGGAAAATTCTGTGTTGAACTTTGTGACAAAATTTTTAAAAAGATTATAAATTAAATATTAATTTGCAAACATGAGCTTTAATTTTTGTCATATTTGCTACATCAGGTATTTTTTTCGTGCAATGTATTGTGTAAATTATTTTGTTTTTTTGGAGAGTGGAGTGGGGAAATCACAGTGATACAACATGTGCAGCATATGAGGTCTGAATAATAATAAGACTTGAATCAAGTGTTGAGACAAAAAACCCCAAAAAACATCAGAAGGGTGCTCATGTGGCCATTTTCCCAATAGATTTCTCTCTACAGTAAAGTTTTTTGCAATCAGCAGTCAAATGTTTGCAAACCTCTTCTGCATCTCCTTCCTTGCTGCCTTCCCTCCTTTATATACAGTCTGTGGTTGTGTGTAAATGTGCGCTTCCTTACAAGTACGCTGTGCATCGCTGTTTTAGCGTAATAATGAAAACAATTAAAACATAAATGAATCATTTCATGCACCATTCATGCCAAACTCCTTCTATAAAGCTGAGGCTGAAGCTCTACATCGGGATCTAAACTGTGGCACAGTTAGTCACTTTGGGCGTAAAAGTCAAACCGAAACTCAAAGCCATCTCCCTCGCTGCTCAGATACTTTCATGCTGTTAAGTGAAGCAGGTCCTGCAGTAACTACAGCACCGTGAATACAGAGATAAAGTCACAACAACTGTAGAGCCACTAAAGTTACAGAACTCTTGACCCATGCAAACCATTTTCTCACTTCCCTCATGAGCCACATAAATATTCTTGATGTCAGTAAGTACAGCTACATATACACAACGTCCTCTTTCTGTTAGGCCAAAACAGAATCTAATACTTTATTTTGCAGCGTGTTCTCACTCCTGCGCGTCAAATATGCCGTTTTTGCCGTCTGTCCACCATTATGTACAAGAAGTTACAAAGACCTGCTTTAGGAAGCTGAAGGGTTAATCATCCAGAAAATGTCTTCACGTCCTACTTCACTTTTTAAAACCTTTTTTCACTTTCTTTTTTTAAACGTTAGAAGTCAGTCATATGCATATAGTATTAAAGACAGAAAATTAGGGGACTAGATTAGTTTATCCTAATAAAGTTCTTTCATCCTAAACATAGTTCATCGTAATGAAAATGTCTTCATGAGCTATAATTGTTTATTTATTACTCTAAAGGGCAGACAGATGCAGCAGTATTATATTTTTCAAACAAGTTCAAAACAAAAAAGATCAATATAAAATTAACATCCATCCATTTTTTTTCAGTATTTTCAAAATGTTTTGAGTCTCAGAAGGAAGTTCAAATGTTCAATTTCACACATTTTTTTGGAACTATTTTTAATCGATTAAAGGATTTTTTTTTGTTCAATTATTTCTGTAACACTTTTCTATCCGTCATATTTTTCAAATCCGTTCGGCACACTTCACAAATAAATAACACTGAACCTAATCAGTCAGCTAGTTTCCAATCAGTAAGACGAAATTACAGATCAGGCCCACAATATACCAAAATGATGTGAACTTTTCTTTTCTCCTTCATCTTTCCCTTACAGTTTTACTGGAAGATTTGGTTTAGACACTGAACACATTAGTTTTAGGAAAAACTAACGATGAGTTGGGTAAGACACGCCGGCGGCATTATTTGACGCTGTGATAATGAAAATAGGCGCGTTATTCATCATGCTTTTAGGGCCAAAAAAATGTTACGCTCTGCCGCTCAAGCTTTCATCAGCACTACAGACTGAAATCAGCTGCAGTAACATCTGTCATTTATAACCCAGTATTTCAGCGACAGTGTGGCCATGCATGCTCTGCTCCACGATGCATCGGCCACGTCTCATCGGTTACCTCAGCCTACTCAGGAGATCACTGACTTCCAGCTGCTGACGCATGAACCTAGGAGATCTGACAGGACAAACAGGGATTCACACACACGGCGCTCACACATACACGGTATCATAATGGCACTAGAGCATACAAAGGTTGATGTGAGTCAGTGGAGGACAATGAGTAAAGACATGGAGGTGAGGAAGAGAAGTGGCTGTAAGAAAGTACCTGTTGGTGTCTTTGAGGCCTACGTAAGCTTGCTTGACTTCGTCGTCCTTCAGTTTGGACACGTCATCTTTATACACTGAAGGCTCCGTCATGGTCTCCTGGAAATAAGCGAAGAGACAATAGAGAAACAATACTTGTCACTTGTGATCAAAAGTTTTGATGTTTTTTGGGATACATCACTAAGAACCATTCACCTAATGAGACACTGGTAGCCAGAATATATGTATATCTGATACATATAATATTTGCATCTACAGTACTGCGGTTATCGCCTTTTTTTTTTTTTTAAACCATCTGAAACAACCTTCAATCAATTTTGTTCAAGTATTCATGACAAACTCATATTATTCAAAAACCACAATTTCAACTTGCAGGGAGCTTTCATACTGAAGTACAACACACACACACACACACACACACACACACACAAAGACAAAGGACAAGACAAATGTACAATACACAGGTGAAGACAGTGTCTGATTATAAATATGACTATTATGTCTTGACTCTTTAATTTTACTTCTTTTAATTATCTGTTCTTTTCCGTTCTTTTAATTTTGTAATTATAGTATCGTATCCTTTAATTTGAGTTATAAATAAATACACATAAATACTGCTTGGTGTCAGATGAGCCCAAGTCTCCTCATAAATCTGAACTTGATCTGACATTAAAGTGATTTAGATCTGTTTACACCTCATCATGTTGTATTGAACAGTTAGAGTTAAGGGCGGCTTAAACTCTGAATTCATATTAACATTTAAAAGCAGAACCTCTATGCTTCAGTCAGATATCCATGATATTCAGGTAAATATTTATATATTATATAACGCGCCACTAATTCTACACATGTAATTGTAGCCAAATATGAAATTTTAAAATCTATTACTTATGTCTACTTAAACTATTCCTTTTTAGCACATCTATACTGATCACAGATTCACTGGCCACACATTTAAATGATGCTCAAGTGGTGCTAAAGGGCCTAAAGTGTGTCAAGAGAATATATTTCGCACACCACCACCAGCCTGAACTGTTGATACAAGGCACAATGGGTACATGCTTTCCTGTTACTTTGCACCAAATTCAGAATTTTCTGAACATAATTTCCTCTGGGATTAATAAAGTATTATACTTTATTAGGTATTAAAATAAAGTATAAAGTATTTTCACTAGTAAATTTGTGTATATCAGCTTAAAATTAAGCAGGCTGTCTTGACTATGTCTACACCCTTAAAGGCACTGAGCTGCTGTAATGTGGTCGGTTGGATATTTGATTAACAAGCAGTTAAACATCTTTGTACCTAACAAAGTGGCCATTGAGGGTCTATCCAATATTAAGCTACACTGATTCAGTTATCTTTAGCAAAGGATTTCTCACTTATTTTCAGATTCTTACCCACTTACTTAACTTTGTATTACAACATTTTATAACCGGTCATACTTGCTCCACATGGAAATATCAGTAACTTCTTTGACCTTTCTACTTTAGTCTTCAATTTAGGTTACAAATGTTCACACAGCTTCAAGAGAACGGGACTTAATGTGTTTCACTGAGTGTGTGAAAGCAGACAATGGCAGCGAGTCGCATCTCTTCATTCCAAAAAGTTAAACTAATGCAGAATAAAAGACAATAAAACACAACTGAATCAGGAAAGCAGTTGTTTTATGTTGTTTTTCATTGCTGATAGCGTCCTCGCTGTAAATGGAAACCAGAATAAATGCTGTAATTCTGTGTTTCACTGAGATGCCTGAGGATGTTTCATACACAGCACAGACCATGAAAAAACATGTCAAATACTCATGGTTGATGCCATTTTTCAACTGTACCTTCTCATCCTGTGGGGAAGCATGAATGGAGGAGAGAAGGTGGAGACGGGGCAGTTAGGCACGATGGACAGGTTGAAGCATTGTCAATACGCAGTGTGAACAATGATTTTACCCCCAAAAAGAGTTCGCGTGTCGAATAAATAAAGACTCGTTTTACGATCCTAAGCTCAATGAAGTTTTAGTTTTAAACACAACAAGAGTTATAAATTAAAATTAGAAAAAAATTCTTTGGGTCAATAGAGTTGACCCATTTTTTTGTTATCTGCTTACTAACAACAACAACAAACGCAGACAGAGATGAAAACACACAAATATGAGAAGGTGGATGTAAAACAGCAGCATTTCATCCACCTTCACAGTTATGAGACCTTGTAAAACATGACAACATGCCAAACACATGTTTGTTTTTCTCTAATTGAATGTGAACAAAATAAAGAATATCAAGTGCTACCTTGTGGTGCATGGCCTCCTTCTGACTGACCAGCTGGGAGCGCAGGATCAGCACCTCCTCCTTGCGGACCTCCAGTTCCTCACAGGAGGCGTTGAGCTGTTCCAGGAGCACCTTGTAAGCTGGCGAGCCCGGAGCACCGGCGCCTGTGGCAGCGTTACCGAGCAGACTTTTCCTCATCTCCTCCAGGTCATGTTTCAGCTTCTTGTTCTCTGACTCGAGCTCCTGACGCTGAAAGATGAAGTTACAGTCAGAAATACGAGCAGAAAATTTGACTTTGTTTTCATTTGCTGTATAAGAAGCATTGATGATGTCATTCAGAGGAGTGAGTGGAGGTTAGGACACCTATGGTCATGTTACTTACCTTCAGGGACTCGTACTCCAGCTCAGCCCCACGAGCCTGAAACGAAAACACGTTTATATACTTTTAATCTGTAGTGATAATTATTCATGTAGATGATTTTGGTCTGAGTTGTATTTTTTTACCATAACCGTCAAATTTATTTTATAAGTATTGAGGAAGACCTGAACCAGCTCTAATTATATTCTATATCATCTCAAATATCCATTATCTGACTGAACTGCATGTTAACAGACCTTTCAACTTTTGGTTTTAGATCATCTGTTTTTCAGTGAGTGCAGTGAAAATGGGTGAAGGTACCATGGCACTAGCCCGCTGCAGCTGCTCCTCTCTGTTTTCCAGTTCGTTGCGCAGCAACTGCTTGTCTTGCTCCAGCTCTGTGACACGTTTCTGCAGCTTGAGAGTTAGCGAGGTGTCGATTCCTCGTGTCACATCCTGCATGTGAGAAGAACGATTACGAAAGTGCCACATGAAACGTATTGAAATGCAAATGCTTAAAGCACATAAACATCAACTATAATAACATTTTCAAACACTAATATTAAACATCTCCTAACTTGTGTTCCAGTTAGGGTTATGCTTCACTTTAACTTTAATGATTTGTTTCCCTAACGGTTGAAACTCCATCTTCAGATCACAATTAATTTTCTTACTTCGCGGCCACGGGTACCATCTTCCAACTCGGCGTACTCGGAGTTGTACGTGTACTCCGATTCGTTGCTGCTGTGGGTAGAATCTGTTCTCCTGTGGCCAGGCTTCGAGACGTTCTGCAGACAAAAGAGGAAATAAGCCTTTTAATTTGAACAAGTATTGACTCGCACTCACTCTGCTGCGCTTGCAGATTAAAAGTGCAGTTAGGCACTGAACACTACCAAGCATCTGCCTTCCACAGAGTCTATGAAGAGTTAGTATTTCTGCTGTTCTCACCTTTTCTGGAAGCTTAACATTTAAACAAAGGTGTAGAAATGTGGCTCATTGCTCGCAGTACATGAGCAAATGTGTTGCTCACCGAAGAAAGAGCCATCTCCTCCTTGAGGTCGTCGTATTTCTCCTCGAGGCGAAGGTGTTCGCTCAGGAGATTCTGGTAGCGAGAACGCTCCTCGTTCAGGTCGGTCTCCAGCTGTTGAGTCTCCTCTGCTATCGCACGAGTCATTTTCTCTGAGGGGTAAAACATAAAGAACAAGTCGTTTCAAACTTTGCAAAGATGAAATTAACTGAGCTGTTGGATGTAATTTAAATGTATGCGGTGATGCGTACCTGTCATCTGCTGACTCTGTTCCTGAATCAACCGATTCAAGTCGTCCTTCTCTTTCTTCAGCAGCCCGTTCTGATGCTTCAGCTCTGCCACCATCTAAAAACACACAAATGTGATCCTTACATCACAAATGATTAAACCTTTCTTACAGAACATACTGTGTGGGACACATTTGTTGCTGAGATTTTTTTTAAACTAGACTCTTAGATTTGTGAGAATAATCTCAAGAAATGAAATGTAATGAGAGATGTTATGATAGCGCTGCAATGAGTCTGACTCGGTCTGTGCTGTTCTCCAATGTCTCTTTCCAACAGGGGAGTCAACTCTATTGAAAAGCAACATTTCCAACACTTACGTCCCTTTAAACCTAAATCTATGTCCTACAAAAAGCACATCAGTATTTTTGGAGGGATTTCACTCTAAGGGAAAGTAAACATAAGTAAAAACAATAACAAAAAAAAAAAAAAAAGTATCTTTGCTACAGTAGCTCAACCCGCTAACAGTACTTTGGCCTAATGAGCAAAAAGAAAATTAAAAATACGAAACTATCACAACTCTTTGGGTCTTCAGTCTAATAGCCTTCACTGGCAACAGTGTAAAGAAAGACAAAGCAATGTAAACTAGAGAAAACAACACACACACCAGCTGTCTCACTAAATCACTACTCTCCTGTGCTCACCTGCCCTGGGGCAATACTGCCCTCTGAGCCCACCATGTGCCCCTCTCCCCCCGGTTCGCTCTGGCTCCTGAATTGCCAATATGTGTAGTCAAGCAAAAAAGAACACACAGTTTTGTGATAAACAAGATATATTTCTCCTGGAGACTACCGGGGACTTTACTTATTAGGGGTCACTGTTGATTCTAGCTTCAAACTAATAATGTGGATTTTTGAAGTAGTCTGAGAGACATGAGAAAGAGGAGGGGAAAGAGAGGCGGCGAAAAAAGAAGTGATGTGATTAAATTCATCCGCAGCAAGCGAGCGTTCAGTATGCAACCAAAATATGTGGAAATTAATAAAGGAAGAGAAAGAAGTGAATGACAATGAAGAGAAATATGAAGATGCTAAATATTCATGGTGGACAGAGATGCGTCAGTGGCTCCTGTCTTACTTTCTCCATTTCGTCCCTGTAACTTTGTGCCCAGTCCTCGATGGTCTTCTTCTCCTGCTGCGTGGCACTCAGCTCCTTCTTCAGCCTCTCCAACTCCTCCAGCAGAGAGGACACCTGGTTGGCTTTGTTCTTGGCATCCTCCTCCACCCCACGCAACCGGTTCAGCTCGCCGCGCATTCGCTCGCTCTCCACTGTGTAGGAACTCTCCAGGCCGACTAGCCTCTCGTTGACCAACCGGTTTTCCTTGCTCTGGGTGTACAGGATAAAAGTTAAGCTAAATAAAAACGCTCATAGAGAACAAAATAAATAAATAAATGAATAAATAAATAAATAACACGACAGGTCAACGTGTTACCTGCTCGTCGATCTTCCTCTGCAGCTGCATGATTTTGTTCTCCATGCCTTTGTTGAGCTTCTTAAAGTGTTCGACTGAGCGAGCCTCAATCTTCAGCTTCTTCAGCTCACGCTTGGCCCTCATCCTGCGGATGCAGCACTGCAGGTAGACGATGGCTTCCAGGCAGCGCTTGTACCAGCACCGGGCCAACCAGCCACGAATGTGCTTCTGAATGATTACCGCCTTATGCTCCCGCAACAGCTACAGCCACATACAAAGGCAGTGATAGAGAGGAAAAGAAATACGAGTACATTGAAGTGAATTTTAGAAAAATTACACTTCCTTCTGTCCACTGAAAACTGTGCAAACATAGAATAACAGAATATAATATTAAAAACAGGAGTGTTTTCATGACTCACCGCCTGATACTTCTGCCGGGCCATGTAAGCTCTGAGGATGGTTTGCATGGCCAGAGCGGCTGCCTGCTTCTGCTTGTAGCGTTTCCTCTCCACGTACATCCTCTGGTACTTCTGGATGATAGTGGCTGCCTGAGTGCGGCGCAAGAACTTGGCCAGGCTGAGGAGAAGCAAGAGTCAGGATTCAAATTCTGCACACCTCTAGTTTTTAGCTGGATAAAATGTTAAGTGCCACAGTTCTCACCAGCGGGCCTGGTATCCTCTGGTGAACCTTTGTATGGTAATGGCAGCACTGCGCTTGCGCAGGTACTTCTTGCGTGCCAACCAGCAGCGGATGGTTTTTTGGATGCGGATACAGGCGGCACGCAGCTTGTCTGCCCTCAGTTTCTCCAAGTAAGCCACCTGACCGGCTCTGAAGAAGATCTTAGTCTTGCCAAACTGATATTTATCCTGATCCTGAGGGACAAAAGAAGCAGTGATCAGAGGTGAAACGAACTCAGTCATGATTTAAAAGTTGTTTTAATCTGTTGTTTTATAACACAGAACTGTAAAATGAAGCAAGGGACCAACTATCTGACCTGCACCAATTTCTCCAGAACGTTCTTGCAGGTCAACTTTTTGTCAGCGAGGACGTCCTTCTGCTTCATCAGCACTCGGTAACGGCTGAAGAACTCCTGATACGTCCATCTGACAAACAAACACAGACGCTTACAATCTGATCCTTTCAATTTATCAAATTTTCCTCTGAAATACTTTAAACACCAAAAGCTGGAAAGATTCAAGTATTTGGAGTTTTGTTCGGCAGACTCTTTGATCTAAGAAGTTATTTTGAAATTTTTTTTGCATTGAGCATCACATTGAGGGAGATGGTACTAAACTGTCTACATTTTGATATGTAAAACAATTTATTCAGTAGTGCTGGGTGTGTGACGTTTTGCTGTTCGTTGTATAGTCGTCTCTTTACTTTAAAATGTATTTAATACACTATGTTTTGGTTTTGATTTGGCTTTTCAACCTTTATTATTACCTCTACACGTCTCCTGGATTTTCTGGGGAAAGTAAGAACTGTGCACATACTGGGGAAGCTCACGGTGAGATGAGCAGTGACAGCATTTTTGAGCCTCTTCACCGTGTCTATGTCTATTTGAGTGAGTTAATTCAGTACTCATCACTTCAGCTGATCCAACTGCTTGCACTGGCCTTCTGCTATGCAAATGTTATATTTCTTCTATATGAACACACATTAAATAATTAGACGTTTACAGTGTGAGTCAGTCACACTGTTGCTGGGGTGCATCAGTACCTCGATGGGAAGCCTGCAGCAGAGATCCGGATGGTTTCCAGGACGCCGCAGGCTCTGAGCTGCTGCACCGCACGTTTGGGATCAAACCTGCCGATATCGAATAACCACAGCCAATGTGAATCATGTATACACAGTTTTGTACAATAAAACACTGCATAAACACGCAGTGTTACTGGTGTCTAAAATTTAAACAGAGAACTTGAAAAAGAGATAAATCTTCCTACAAAAACAGCAGATTATAAAACAACGCTGAAACTCACGAGAAGGCCAACTTGAAGTCATTGGGTTTGATACAGCGTACGTAGTGAGGAGTGGTCGCGTTCAAAGTGTCCATCAGCTTTTGTAGAGAGTTACGAAACTACAAGAGAGGATCACCAGCATCATCATGACCTAAATCCCTTTTGTAAAATTAAGATGAAAGTCTTTAAAGTTCATTGAGTCACAATTAACAGGCTTCAGATTTCCCAAAATAAACTCATAAGAAAGATAAAATACTGGCAACTGCTTGTGCTTCGCCTCCGTCTCCTAGTAAATACGTCTGTGATAATAACTTGAAACTCTTACGTCACCTCGTTCTGGAGTTATCGCATTCACGAACTTACGTGTCCACACCTAATGCCCACAGACACCCACATAAAAACCACACAGAGTGTCTAAGTTACGCAAGTCCAGCTAAGAGTGAGACAGGCACCTGACAGCCGACAGTCTTCTTGTGCTCTTTGCTGCTCGTGTCCCGGCTCTTGTCGGGTTTGATGCTGAGACGGGTGCGGCCCCCGGTTCCCTGGACCTGGCCAGTGGGGCTGGTTGCCTTTTCCTCGTCCTGGAACAGCTCCACCAGCAGGTCAAACTAAAAACAACAGCCCACTCATAGTTACCAGCTGATAGTGACATGAATCCTAAACGATAAGATGCATCTCTGCTGCTGCCATATTGCTCAGGGATTCTGATTACTGGTTGTGATGTGGTTTTATAAACAATACCACGCTTTTCTGCTGCTTTTCAATGTCCCAGTGGAAATAATAAATAAATAAATAAATAAAAACACAGATAATAAAGGTTGAACATGTGAGAACTTATCTTACCGTCTGAAATCTTACTGAAATCTTACTGTTCCCAATATGTTTAATTTAATATATCACAATATGCAATCCTTCTTTTTAGATGACTTAAAGTTCATAAACAAAGGCTTATATCTAACATAAGCATTTGGGTCATTCTAATTTAGCAGTGTCCAATATTGTAAACGCACGTCTACTATTTAAAACAAACCAAACAACCTCTGCCTTTGCCTCCATAGACAAACGTACTTTAGAAGGTCCAGCTGCCCCTGAGGAACACGGCGCCTGCAATGATGCATCATTCCTACATTTGTGCATGGCATCACACACTGCAGATAATTCTGACTTACTGATATTTCATTTTGTTTCAGTAATTAGGCTTTAGTTCAACTCCTACAAATCACAAATGATTTTTTTTATGCTGCCATGCGTTCTGATTTTTCTTACTTACCGTGCAGTGCATACTGGCTTACAAAGCAGGACAGCAGCTCTATTTTTGCGACACTGAAAACCATCACTATGAGCACTTACTGTAAAACCGAAAAATGTTTGGACACTGTGTTTGCAAATCTCATAAACCCATATTTTACTAACAACAAAACATATAAAACGCATCAAGTGTTTAGATATTTGAGAGATTTTACTATATCGTGAAAAAACATTGGCTCATTTTGAATTTGATGGCAGCAACACGTCTATAAAAGGTTGGAAGCGGTGCAGCAAAAGGCCGTTAAGTAAAGTGGTGCTAAAAAGAAACAGCTGGAGGATAATAACAATCAGGTTAACTGGCATCAGATCAGCAACGCGGTTAGGTATTTAACAAAATGAGCATCTTAGAGAGGCAGTGTTTCTCAGAAGTAAAAGCGGCCAAAGGCTCACCACTCTACAAAAAAATGCTTCTACAAATTCTGGAAGAATTTCAGAATCATAGTCCCCAACATGAGATACTGAATATCTCATCATCTACAGTACATAATATCAAGTAATTCAGAAATCTGTCTGCGATATCCATAAAGCTCCATAATGCAAAGAAGAAGCTGTATGTGAACACGATCCATAAAGTCCACTGTCTTCTTTGGGCCGAAGCTAATTTGAAATGGGCTGAGGCAAAGTGGAAAACTGGTCTGCGGTCCGAACTAAAAAGGAGACGTGCCATCTGACTTATTCAGCACTCCCTGATAATATGAAGGTGCGGTACAGCCAGTGAAATTAGCAGCTTGCACATGTGGAAAGGCACCATCAGTGCTGAAAGGTTTATACACATTTTAGAGCAACATATGCTCCCATGCAGATGATATCTTTTTCAGGGAAGGCCTTGCATATTTTTGCAAGCTGATGCTAAACCACATATTACAGTTATTACAACAGCATGGCTTCGTAGTACAAGAGTCCTGGTGCTGAACTGGCCTGGCTGCAGTGCAGAGCTTTCACCAACTGAAAACACTTTGAGCATTATTAAGTGTAAAATACACCAAAGAAGACCCTGGACTCGCAGACGCTTACAGACCGTTGTGGTAAACTTTGTTTTTTTCTTATATTGGCACATTTCATATGTTTTGGCTGATTAAAAAATGGGTTTATGAGATTTGCAAATGATTACATTCACTTTTTATTTACGACTTTTTTTGGAATTGGACTTGTATGTTTTCAATTTACAAATGCAGTGTGGAGACATCAGAGTGAGTTAATTAATTAAAACTTGTAAGGACAAAACAACCAAAACAAAACAGCTCGAAAGCAGTTTGAGAGTTTAAGTAGAAGAGCGAAAAGATTGGTTGATTTGTTAATAAGTTTTGTTAAATTCAGTCACAGTCAGAGTTGTTACAATGCTTTACAAACAAATGTAATTAAAAGGTTAGGTTTTGTCATATATGACAGTATGCAGTGGCCATATATGAGTGTACGGCATCATTATGCCATGAAATAATATCACAAACATGTCGTGTTCCATATGACATGAAGGTTATATGAGGAGGATGCTGTGTTATGTGTCGCTGCAGTGCCATGCTGCTTCTAACCAGCATCATTAAGCAGGACAGCCACATCCACAAAGGCTTTACATGCTGCTCGCTCTCAGATAAAAATACTTTCCTTCCTTCATCCCTTTATTTTCAATGTTGAATCCCCCCTTTTAGTGCTTTCCATGCAGCAAACAAAGGCATACACAAAACTCAAATCTCCTCAGTGCTGTTAGAGTGTATTAACTCACAGACAGAGACAAAGAAGGAGGAAAGTCAAAGGAAAAAGCTAAAGCTAAATGAAGAGCTACAGGCAGACTAGCGTTGTAAGAACGCTTGTGTTTACCTTCTGCTGGCAGTCAACAGTGAAGGTTGTCATGATGAGGACAGAACCAAACATACATGGACAACATATGGAGACACAATTACAAAAAAACAAAAACAAAAAAAACCCACAATGAAAGGTTAAAAAGCCAAATGTCAAAAAATCCTAAAGGTCAGTTTCTAAATCACGATCTTCCCCCATCCAAAGCAATCACACACAATTATGATTCAAATGAAAAGGAAAAGAAAACCAGGAAGACAAATGAAGCTGAAATGGATGGAAGGAACCGTGATTTAAAAAACAAACAAAACGAAAACATTTTCATTGACATCCAGCAGACATGCAGTATAAAACACATCTGTGGTTGAAAGGTGGCTGCATTCAGACCCAATTCCTGCAAAGACATCTCATTTGGGTTGCTTGGAAAATGAAAGTTTAAGAGATGACACCTTTTTAAAAAATTGCAAACAAATGTAACGTGAAACTGGCTTCCCCATCACAGTGAGAAAGAAGAAAAAGTGAAGTTTTCCCCAACGCTGCTTATCTGATGCTGTGCGCACACGTTTCTCAACTGTTCTCAACCGTTTGTTGTAGAACAACATCCAATTTTTGAATTCATTAATTTTTTTTAATCAAAACTTTGTCAATACAAACAAAACAATAAAAATAGAGAGTAAGACACAGGCCATAATAATTTAGGAATTTATGCTTAAGAGCCTGAAATCTTCTGAAAGATTGGAGAGGAGATGGCATTCAGTGTGCCGGAGTGCATTTCTGGATGAGAGACCTAAAGCAGAAATGCAGATTCTTCAGAGTCTTTATGATACTTTATCTGTTAATGCGTTAAACTACACAAACAGCTAGCAGCTAAATGTTTATGAATCACTTCAGTTTTACTGGCTGTTGAGGGCTGGCTTTAGACGCAGATACAGACAATATTACAGATGAATAGAAGGCTGTTCCTTAGTTAATTGCAATATTATAAATATGTATTCATATTCATATTAAGTATTAGCTCAGTAAAAACAAACACGCACACACAGAAACATTAAGAATGATGGGATAAGCTTGGCAGAGGACCTTAATTTGACTAAATCTCATTAAAAGGTCAACCCCAATTGCTTTAATGCCCCTGATTTCCATGGCAACTATAAGAGTACACATCTGTGTGTGAGAGTGAAAAGGTCTTGTTAGATGTTAGAGCGGACTATATCTATATTTCAACCCTTACCCACTTCTGGCTTTGCTGAAAAGGTCTATAAAGGAACAGCCGAAGGTCACTGTGAGAATTTTAAACAAACACACTTCAATAAAGTCTGCGTGTGTGTGTGTGTGTGTGTGTGTGTGTGTGTGTGTGTGTGTGTGTGTGTGTGTGTGTGTGTGTGTGTAGCCAAAACAGCGAAGAGGATTTAAAGGCTTAGGCCCCTTTTAACCCAACAGGGTTTTACACAGTGATCTCCAGCCACGACCAAAACACGCACACACACAAACACACACAAACACACACGTGACATTAATTCAGCTGCGATCTAACTAACTTGGACTTGCAGCTCCGTGTGTAGAAAAACTGGGTCTCTGAGTACTGCTGCATATATAAGGTTTTGTGACTTACATTTAACTGTAAGTCACAAAACCTGTAAGTCCTTAACTCAGGTATAAAGTTGCAGAAAGGTCTTTCATGTGTCAAACTTGAATCTATCCTGCATTCAGGATAAATGTGTGGCACACATTTAGCTTTTTGTGCCACATGCAAGTAAAAACCTACACAACTGAGAATTTATCTCTGCTAGTGTCACTATCCTCTTCACCAGTAGAGGGCGCTGTTCCCCGTATACTTTAAGTTGAACAGCATGTTTGGCCAACAAACAACTTTCTATTTTTTCCACACAGAGACCAGGTGGCACATCTCTGCAGGAGCAGCAGACGTACATGTCAGTGGATGCTTCACAGTTCTTGAAGTCCAATGTGTTTTAAAGGCTTACATTTGGCTGATTACATACAACAAAACATATTTTCATTGTTGGTGTTTGTGCGTCTCACCTTGCTGGCTTTCATCACATTGATTTGCTCTTCATTCACCGTGTCCTTGTTCTTTTCCAGGAAGCCGTCACACTGGTACTCCACCTGCCCAACGACACAGCAAAGCTTGTGTTACACTTAGGACGAGCGGGTGCCCCACTTTATGTGGCACTGCACAGCATTTCCAACCCACATACTGAGAAAATGGTCCAGTTTACAAAACTCAGCACACATAGAGGACACCTTTAATGAACGGTTGTAAGGGAAGCAGGGAAGGCTGCATCATGGGTCAAGTGCAAGTCAACAAGTCACAGTCTTTTACTGCTTAAGTGGTGCTCAACAGGGAAACTGAGCTATTCAGTTAATCATCATGAATGACACTAGCATCAATAAATAGAAATAGAACAAAAAAGCTATTAAAATGTACATGTGAGTGGGTGAAGCTGATGGAAAGACATTCTCAAAATTTTCAGCCTTTAATTATTTTTGCTTTAATAGATTTTTTCTATATATTATTGTTTTTGAATGAGGTGAGAATAATGACATGGAGTAACAGTGTACATGTGTGTCTGACAAGAAACGGGTAGCTCAGAAAAAGATATTAAAAGACAGATGATTACCATAAGCTAAGAGTTTTATAATACAGAGAGCAAGGAGTATCTGGATACAATGATGTGCATTTGTCCTTTACATGCCAGAAATCAAACCTATAGTTTGCATTGTTTGTAATTTTGTCTACTTGTCTACTTGTCAGCATTAGTCTTGTGTTCCTCGTTGACTTACACAATGCACTAAGTTTATCAAATCACATGTATTTGTATAGCACTGTTCAAACACAAGGCAATGCTTTACAGAGGGAAGAAAAGAGAAGGAGAGAGAGAAGAAAAAAAATCATGCAAGACATAAATGTACTGAAGAAGCACTCCAAACTTATTCCATTTTATTTTGCTTTGCTATGATTCTGGGAGCAACATAGGTGACCTCTTCCTGGTGACCTGAGAGTTCCACATGTTTTGTAAAGTATGTTTGAAGTGTAATGTCGTCGGAGATCATTTAGTGCTTCGTGAAAATTTTTTAAATCTGTCTTAGGAGACGCATAAAGTTTTTCTGTATATGCTTTAGAGAGGAATATTTTAATTTTTGTTGTTTTTTTTTAAATGGTAATAGACTTTGTCTGGTCTGTTGAAAATGCGTTGTTCCACAATTATTCTGGCCTGATTTAAAAATGTAACCATTTTTTTAGAACCTCTTTTAGAAACTCCAGCTATACAGACTTATTCAAGCTCTATGATCATGTGGTGACACTGATATGTAGAGTTGTGTGTCATAATTATGGTAAGAGATTTTATAATATCTAATAATTATTATAAAATTATTTTATTTGTTGGATCTGTTCAGCCCGAGTTACTCCTGTAAGAACTTAAGCTATAGGATGTATTTTTCCTCTTGGTAATGAGTCAAACTGAACTACAGTGAAAGCACATTTCATCTAATACAAAAAGTATAAATATTGGAAATCCTTAGACTTATATGGCTCTAGGTATCCTAATATAATATGATTTGGTTATTTTAATCCGCTTTCTCAGTAACCTTATAGTGAAGCTGTAAAAACAGACATGAAAATTAATGCTTTTTCACACAGCATCTCATTAGAACCACTAAAACCACTACGCGAACATGTCATTGCTAAAATGCTCATTTACGTTAGAGCACCAATAATTTTTTATTTATTTTTTTAAATAGTCCATCTTCCTACCCTAAAAATACCTCACACGTGCAGTTAATCTGTTCCCTCATGCTGTTAAATCTTTTAAATCAACCTTTTTAAATGTACACAAACACTTATGATACACCAAAAAAAAAAAAAAGAAAAAGAAATTTAACAACCTAATATGTAACAGTGTGGAAACACAAAGCATACAGTCTGACAGACCCACCTTGTCTGCAAAATGCTGGATGATGAAGGCGCGGTTGGACATGCGAGGCTTCTCAAACAGGGAACAAGTCTTTAGGTGGGTGTTGTACAGCTTTTGAGCCCATGAGTCATCCGAACCTTTAGGCATCTGTTACAGAAAGAAAGAAACCATGAATAATGCATTTTCATCTTTTCAGAAATTACAATGTTTATTTCAGTTGTTTGATTGAACTTTTTCTTGTCATTCATTGCATACTGACAAACATACGTCCTTGCCATAATGTGAGAAATGCGTTCCCACCTCAAATGTCAACAACCTGTAAAATGACCTTGCAGAGTTTGAGAGCGACAGAGAGATAAGCTCAACAGTATGGAAGCCCGTTTCCGCCACTAAAAAAAAAAAAAAAAAAAAGGATCCATAACTCAAAATTTCGACATATTAACTCAAAATTTTGAGAAAAGCAAATCAAAATTTCGAGTTAGCGGCTGCCAATCAGTAATCTACGTGAATGACGTCATTTCCATGTTACCCGGAAGCTGAAGCCCTCAGCTACAAATGCTACAGCTAAGCTACCGGTATTACATCCAGTCGTGAATGCACAGATTGCTGAGTGTTTTCAGCCTGGCTTCACAAATGATGAAATCCCTGTGTTATTAGCTGAATCACATGGTGTTACTATCAGCAAACATACTTTAATTTGTTGGGATCCGTTTTTGAGTGCGCGGTCCTGCGCCATATGCTTCCGGGTAACAAGAAAGCGACCTCATTCACGTATATTTTTGATTGGCAGAGCTAACTGCCAATCTAAAAGTAACTCGAAATTTCGAGATAGTAACTCGAAATTTCGAGTTATGGATACTAGCTTTTTTTTTTTTTTTGTGGCAGAAACGGGCTTCCATACAACAGACACAGGACAAGAAACTGGAGCCTTTAATATCACAGCTGCCACAGCATTAACTAAAACAAAGCTCAATTCTGTTTATTTCATACACGCTCAATATTTCATTCCAGTCTTACTAACATGAATGAACATAAACTAAAAACAACCTCACGTCCGCCTCTTGTTTAGTTTCACAGTGAGAAAGAAGAAAAAGAGAGCTGTGGTTAATATTTAGCTTTGGGTTTCTCAGTTTTAGGTATTGGTGACTTTAGCCTTGTGTGTGGTGGGAGGCAATGACAAGCTGCAGGCTGACGTCAAAAAATGGAAAGCAGAATGTGGGTGTGAATGAAGAAACCCACAGGCCTCTGCTTAACATGCAGCACAGGCTCAGTTTACTTTATTTTGCTTGTTTATATTCATGAGAAAGTTTATGTAAGTAACTTGTGTAATGTAATTCCTTTCTTTTTCTTTAAAGATATGTAGTTGGAGAAAGTCGGTTCTTAAAAACTTTTGCATGAAGAGCAAACTGCTCAAATAGAAGACAAACGTGAAGAATGATGCAACCTAAGCAACAGAATCGCTGACCGTAATATAACTGATCTGAAATACACCGGTGAAGTAATCAATCGGTGTAGTAAACAAGATTGATCGCCTTGTAAAAATGAAACGCTCTGCTGGGAAAACTGCTGTTAAAGTAACATGTAGCACCAACCACAGCATTGCTGTATTAGGATGATGCACAAGCCAGTCCACAGAAACTGCTCGGGAACACAACAATTACCCTGTATTCACCCACGCAGTGCTAATCTAGAACCAGTGCCATGCATTTCTACAAATAAAACACTAACACCTGTACAAACTAGCACCAGCATGGCACCACAGAATTGCTAGGTTCAGAGTTCAGTGGCTAAGGGAGGGATTATCATCAGACCTAGCCCACAGATTCAACTCCCATGATTTACTTCTCACAGAACTAGCAGGAACTCTACAAATCGAATTAGCTCGAACCTAAGAAACTGGAACCAAGTATTTCAATGTTGTGCCCGTTCTGCATACACTATTTGTCGGGTAAAATAAGACGTACCCTGCACTCCTCGTCCAACAGGTCCAGGATGCCCATCTTAGCTTCTATGAGGTTGATGCACGGCTGATTGTCATAGAAGTCAATCAGAGTCCAGGGGATCTGCTCCTTCATGTACTCCTCCTGCTCCAGTTTGAACACATGCTGTGCAGACAGAAACACACAGTTAGGTATTTAACTTTAATAGTATTTACAACCCTTGAATATAAGGAGTGGCCTAACAAGAGTTATGCTGCTCTTTATAAATTATTTACATTTTGCAGAAAGTAAATCAGAACTGATTTTTTTCATGTAAATTGTCCATTATTTAGTTCTATTTTTAAACTCTGAGGTTTTTCATGGAATTTGCATATTTTGTTCAGAACCACCACTGACATGCTTTTGAAGTTTGTGAACTGCCACGTTTTGATTGAGAGCAGTTATTGATTGTTTGCTTTTTGCTGCTGCTTACCATGTTGAACTGTTGCTGCAGCTTCTCATTAGCGTAGTTGATACAGAACTGCTCAAAGCTGTTGATTTCAAATGTCTCAAACCTTGTGAAGAACAAGAGTGATGTTAATGACCTGAAACACACTTTTTCACTGCTGTGTTTTAATTTGATGAGCAAACTCAGACAAATCCAGCGAAAGAATGATGCTAAAAAGCTCAGACTGATTAGCTACCCCTTTGTAACTACTACATACTTTGAAAGTACTACACAGACATACCCGTAGATGTCGAGGACTCCGATGAAGGAGTGCTGTTTAACATTTGTCACCAGAGCCTTGTTGACGTGCTCCACAATCCAGTTGAAGAGCTTGGCGTAGATATGTTTGGACAGAGCATCACGGGCATTCGTGGCCTGCAGACGAGGGAGGGGCTTGATATACGTCTCTGTGGCCGTCTTCAGCTTCCTGTGGCACAGCCACTGGGACATATCCTGGTAGGTCACACCCACCAGCTCGCAAAACGCCATCAGGTGACGGTTGTTGGGCTACATCAGAAAGAAGAAGTTTTCATCTCCACTATCCAACACAAAAGTGATCCATCTATGATGTGGCTCCATATCACAGATGGATATGATGTGGGGCCACTAAATGCATCTTTAGGGAGGAATAAGTGAGGGAAAAAGTGGCATTTATTAAAAAATTCTCAATAAAACAAAAGGAAAAATAGATCCCAGTGGAATTAATCCAAACAACTAAAGCTGCAGCCTCATTTCTGCCTCTACCTATTTACTAATTGTAAAGCTTCTTAGCTTGTAAGCACGTGATAGGCTCATGAATACGCAAACTGTGAATACAAGGTACCTACAGGTATAAGCAAGCAAGCTTTTGAAAAACCCCTAAAATTGAAATTCAGAACAAACTGGCTGGCATTACCATGTTCAGAGTTCCTACCGGGGGATTTAAAGCACAAGTATGAAGGATTCTTCTGTTTTCAAGGCATTCTTTAAGGAATGACCTACATCATTAAGTTTGATCAGGGATGCAAAACTCATTTTACATCAAGGGCCACATACAGTCCACTTTGATTTCAAGTGGCCAGATGAGCGAAACTTTTCTTTTTGCCAGTGTAACAAAGTTTAATTACAGAGATGTGTGCAATTTCAAAAGTACACCTCTGTCTTTCTATGTCATAAAAGTGTAAAACATTTTCATAAAACAAAGTTTTTGTTAATTCGGGAAAAAAAAACCATTTAATTGTTTATCTGTTACTTAATTACTTTGGTGCAGTATGAATGGCTGTGGGGAACTCTTTATGAGTTGGAAAAGCCGTAAAACTAATGAAAATACAGCAAAAAGTCCCCAAATTTATGCCATACTATATATTTTCAAGGAACTGGAGTCTGGAGCCGATTCTGGCCCGTGGGCCTTATGTTTGACATCCCTGAGTTCAATAGAGTATCTTATCAGTATGTAGTGTTCAAGGTACTTGGTGCACTACTGTTTCCATTTAAATTCAAATGTTTTCCTACATTTTGCTGAAATGTTAATACTGAAACATGGGGATGTGAAAGCATATATACGTTATAACGTGTATATAACATACATATGTTTAACTTTATGTCCATATATATATAGAAATCCCAATCATATCCTCCCATGCTTCTCCTTTTCAACAATCCCTTAAAGCGAAGGATATAATCATGCAAACTTCTCTATCTCTGATCAGCAGCCAGTTCCCAGGAAATGCAGAATAAACCCACTGACCAACACCCAATTCTATGAGACTAAAATATGATTAATAATCACATGTAACACCATAAGCAAACTGATGTTAGTTAAAAGTGGGAAGGAAAAGATCACAGAAAAGATTTCTGAGGAGCTGAACTGAGAAAGTCCCTCCTAATTACGACACTTATTTATGCAACAGCCCAGTGATACGCTCCCCCTTTTCTTTATGCAGTATGAAGAGTATCCTCACAGGAATAACGCTGCTGTCTGCATCTCTGTCCTTAATCTCCACATTTCCCAGATGAAGAATGGCAGCCAAAACCTGGAACAAACCCATCTGATAGGACTCATTAATACCTGCAGAGGACACACAAACACATCCTTAGGTTTTTACTTCCATTTTTTCCATACAGATTTCAACCTGCGTGTATTTTTAGGTGTGTGAGTTACCCAGCAAGGAAAAAGCATTGCGTGTGGTGCAAAGCTCCTTGGTGTCATCCACTCCGTCGATAACGGGGCTGCGGCCCTGCCTCGTGTACAGGAAGTCATTTGCACTGCCTGAATAGAGACACAGAGGGGCAAACATGGAACAGTGAGTCTTACATTGTGCTACTTGGACACGTGTGCTACTAAAACCTCAGCCACCAACTGGAAGGTGTGTATTACAATCATATGCTGTGACATTGTGTCCAGAATGAACTCAACGTGCAACCTTGCAACTAACCAGAGCTGCAATCCTGGTTTGCTGAACTGAAGGATCAAATAAAACAAGGACACAAAATTGTGGTCATCAAACGAATCTCATGGTCAGATTTCAGAAGATTTTCTACAGGCCCTACTACTTCTACTTTCTAAAGATCCTGGTCTCTATTTAAGGTAATACGTCATATTCTGCTGAGCTGAAGTTTTCTGTTTTTGTTTCATTGTTATTAACAACTTATTCACTGTATCTTCCTGAGTTTAGGTAGAAATGATCATAATCTGTTTTTATTCTGTGACACTGACTCACTCAGAGTGATGCTGGGTGTTTGTTCACAGTCAGATCAGGAGACTGATAACGTGGAAAACTCAGAAATAAACAAAATCAAGAACGCTTCTTCTGCGTATGAGCCCAACTTTCTTACAATCGGTTTCTTTATACACACTTAACACCGAATTAGGGCATGGTCTGTTGCCTGGCAACAAGAGTCAGTGACATGACTGTGACAACCACTCCATTAACTGAGCCAGGAAGTTAGCAGGAGAGGAAAAGACAGCAGCTGCGTGTGTGTGTGTGTGTGTGTGTGTGTGTAGGAGATAGAAAGAGTGCCAAGTGAGTGGCAGTAAATGGCGGTGCCAGCAGAGAGTGTGTGTCCATGACTAGGATGAGCAGGTGCAGGTCCACAGTGGGAGCGCTCTATAAGGGAGCCTGATGAACCAGAGAATCAATGAGTCACAGTTCAGTTCCTACAGCAGGAACTTTGCCTGATGCATCTAAGCTGATATCTTACTAATAATTTAGAGAAATCTCTGACTGTCCATCTATGTGTGTTTCACTCATCTCATCAACTGCTTGTCCAATCATACTAGTGCCAGACCATTACACTAACCTGAACCTATATATATCTAAACGAGATCTAGATCTTTGGGCAGGATGCTTTGCATTTGTCGTTTCATTTTTTTTTTTAATGCTCTAAAACACATAAAAATCAAGAAGCAATTTCAATCTAAGCCTAATTTTTATTGCTCATTACAAAGTCAGTGACTTCTTGAGCCAATGGATTTCACCGTTCTGGCATACTGTCTACAGCAAGAGTGACTCACAAGCCAAAAAAATAAATACACTTGGGAAAGGAAATTCCCCCTGTCTGTTAAGTCATTTTAATGAAATGCTTTCACTTTACAGCATAAAGTGAAAGTCTAACCATTATGTTCCATTTGTGGGTAAGTTTCATTCACAAAAATATAACAGACGAATGAGGAAGGAAGTTAGTTCTAGTTACAGCTGGTCTTTCGTAGCCTTAAACAAAAAAAAAAACAACAACCCCATAACCTTTCAGCATATTGTAAATTATGCACTTGCCTCCTCTTGCCTCGTTTTTAAATGCTGACTTTGTCTAACATAAGATCTTTTTTAGGCATCATCAGATTAGGAGTAGAATGTAGTATATGTGCTGAAAGGGTCAGAGGAGGAAGTGAGTAGTCTGAGGTTGAATCCCAGCTGTGTACGCACGTGCTCATCTGGTGATCGGTGCTTAGAACAGGGAGCGTTTTTTTGGCCTCTCCTAGTTTTCTGTTCTGTAACATATTTACAGGAGTCCGATGCCACCACCAGCATGACTCATATTAGAGGTCTGGACTGCTTGTGAAATCTATTTGCACCTAAAATTGAAGTGAAAAAGAAAAAGATCACTCTTATGTGGCACTTAATGTTTTTTTTCCCATGAGGTCTAAACAAATAACAACCTCTGGAGCTGAAAAAAATAAATAAATAGCACTGAAGCGTTGAAGTGCCATAAACTGCATTTCCTCTGCTTCCTCCACTTCAAGGCTGCTTTAAAAAGTAAGTTTATCCCCACAGACGTCCATATTAAATTGCCCCACATTAAAGCATTTAAAAACATGCTTACACCCTGGTACGAAAACAGTTGCGGTCTCTATGGATAGTCTCCCCCTTCAGCGAGCGATTTATTTATTTATTTATTTATTTATTTATATTTAATTAAGAGGTGTGGCCACTTTGATTGGCAAATGTACAACACAAGACTCCTGTATCCCCTGGCTGTCTTCTAGGCCTCAGTTGTGCTGGATGAACAGTGGACTGGATTTCTCTTCTCTGTTTGTGCTATTGGTGCCTTTTGGGGCTTTTAATGGCACAGTCTGTCTAATAATACGGTTTGATTTGTGATACAGACCATCCAAGAAGTTTGTGTTTCCATTTTTGTGAAATTCTTGTTTTTTAATACTCTATTGCTTGGCACTACTTTGCATATATTTATGTGACTGCATGCAGTTCATGCAGCTCATGAGCTTGCTAATCAAGCTAGCTAGCATTAGCTCGCAAATTAGCACTCTAACCTCTTGTCTAAATTAGGAACCTTCTGGCTTTAAAAACACTGACATTGTTAAATGCTGATGTTGAGGCTCCAAAATGTATAGTGCAAACCAACAGCTTTCTATACTTCTTGGCCTGTATACATCCATCTTTCATACAGGTCATTGGTTTGGCGCTCTCAAAATGAGTGAGACCATGATGGCAACTTTTATAAAGTCTGAACCTCTAAAGAATTTCATTAATAGCCATGTGTGTTCAGGTGCTGCAAATGAATTTAGCACTTCTACAGCTAGAGCTTTTGTATTTAATTCCATTGTCAGTATACTGTACATATATGTATATACATATACATATACGTGTGTGTGTACGTGTGTGTGTGTGTGTGTATATCTGACCGACTTACTTAGCTTCAGAGCCTTGAACTCAGGCAGATGTGCAGATGCACAAAGCTGATAGAAGATATGATAATTTCTCTCCTCGTCCGCCTGGAAGAAAGCAGAAAGATCATATCTGATTAATCAATAAGATATTATATTTCTTAATTAATAATGAATAAAATGGTTTAATATTAATGTTCACTAAATTAGTTAATCATCATTCAGATATGTTTTTTTTTTACTTTTTTTACAGCTAACATTCATGGGACAAGAAAAATCAGCTGCTTGTTTCTTTACAATTATACAGTTTGACAGTTTGACAAATGTGAGGAGGAAAGTAATCACGTTTCTCTGCCAACATCCTCATTCCTCAGTAGCATTGTCTATAATAACTGTGTGTGTGTGTGTGTGTGTGTGTGTGTGTGTGTGTGTGTGTGTGTGTGTGTGTGTGTGCGCGCGCGCGCATGTGAGAGAGAGGGAAAGTGAGTGAGTGAGATAGAGAGAAAATGTTTCTTTTTCCAGGCATTAAATGTCCTTGTTCTTTTATCATCTAGATGCCACCCTACAGGTTTCTCCAGTAAGAAAACACACCCACTAAATATATAAGAAAGAAAGATAACTACTTATATAAGAGAAAAACTCTATTTATAGAATATTTAAAGACAGTATTCAGTAAACTTTTATGAGGTATTATGAAGTATTTCCCGGAATGTGCCCATAAAAATGAAATGAAATCCTTATTTGAAATGAGCTGGCCAATCTCTAGTCCAGGATCATCTGCTCGGGTATTTTGAGACAGGTTCCAGTATGGCTGCTATTTTGAATTCTGTGAAAAGTGGTCTGGAAGTTTAATTCAGACCGTGAACATCAAACTTACAAAGCTTACATACACAACAAAAGTCAACTTCACACAAAACTGATTTGACTTTTGTGCGCAGGGTCACTGCTCATCTGATCGGACTCCACAGTTTCCAAACCCAGTGGTCAGCCAGCCCAGACAAAGAGATGGAAGGAATAGGAAAGGAGGAAAGGAGTGCCGTGCTGTCACCCAGTGTGACAGATGAGCAGTAAAAGGACGGGTTTACTTGGTTTCCTTTGTCTTTGTGAAGGAGGAAATGATTGTTGCATACCTATTCTGTACTTACAGGGCAAGTTTTTCATGATCCCCACTAATGATGTTACGTAGCACATGCTGCTGAGGAGTGACTGCATTACAAAGAGTACCATCCTCCTGTGTAACAGCATTTCACAGTCTACCCATTGTATCACTACAGCAGGGTTAATGTTACATAAGCTGTAGGATCAATGATTGAGACTTTACTACTCAAGTGATGATATTATTAAAATCCTTCCAGTGAGTTTTTTTGAAGGGCCTGACTTTTTTACTGCCAGTGCAGTTTTCTTATGAATGACCTGAAGAATGTTGCTGTAACTCTAGCAGAGCAACAGCTTTCATTATAATGCTGTAAAGGCCGACAACAAGCTTTTCCCCAAAGCACCCCTAATATTAAGGAAGCAAGCTAACGACAAGATGCTCACCCAGAACAAAGCAAAAGTGATGCTCAAAAACATTCAGGAAATTCAGAGTAGAAACTGAAAATGTCTAAAGGTTAACTTTTGAGCATTAATTTGTGACTGCTGAAAAAAAACATAATGAGGGAACGAATCAGTACACAGAACAACAAACACAGCATAGGCTTATCTTGTGCACTCACCTGAAATACCACTCGCGATTTCTCCAGCAGATATGTTCTCATGTTGGCACCGATGATACGGTAACGGTTGTCAAAGCCGATCTCGATGTATTTCCCAAAGCGACTGCTGTTGTCATTTCTGGTGGTCTTTGCATTTCCGATGGCCTGGGTAAGAGAAGACAGACACAACCAACAATCATCACAAAGTGCGTCTTTAGGAGAGGCTATGCAGATAACCACAACTGGTCCGCGCACTGTAAATGCAAAGAGTCATTTGGATAGTGGAAGAACCCCAATCATGTTAAGAGTGCTCAGAGTTTGACTGGGTAGATATTAGAGCAGCAAGAAAACACAAGAAAATAAAATATACAGCAGAGTGAACGGTCATTTTTACTGTGGTTAAAACAGGAAAAAACACATTTATCTTACAACCTGGAGAACCCAGTACTAGATGCAAAGTATACCTGTTATAAAACTGCATCCTCCACCACTTCTGATGGTTCCTAAGCGCAGCATCATTACTAAAGAGGCCAGTAAGTACAGTAAGGGCTGAATGTTGATCCCTGATTAATTATGTATTGCAACATATTTGTGATCATCAGAAAGGAGGTACTATCTAGCAATTTCCACAAAAAGCTGACAACTGATGTATTATTATTATTATCATCATCATCTCCTATGTGTCTCTTGTGGACAGCTTCTTTCAGGTTTTCATTTTGGCCTCACAGTTCTGCAGAAGACTCCATTTAGATGACATTCTGGTGAAAATATGTACATTAAAAAATAGTGTTAGGCTTAAAAGGCTAAATGACACTTTTCTACAGTTGTGCACATATAACTCCAAAAAAAGCAGCTGCTGTCATGTCAAGTAAGTTAAGGTACAAAGTAATGTCTGAAGCTGGAAAACAACATTACTGTGACAGTGTCAGCGAACTGATCCGTCTGAATGTTACAGAGTTGATGATCTGATTTGCGTCTTCTGATTGGTGCTGTTGTGGACGTGTAGCTTTTTTTGTGATGAACAGAAGTGACTTTGAGAGGTTTCTGCCAGGAAACCATGTTTTGGAGGAGGCTCAGCGTGGGATTTAGCACACACATTTTCTAGGTTTTCACAGAGGCTCTTGCATCTAAACTCTTCTTTTCTTTTGACTGATATTGCTTTTCTTTTTTTACCCCATAACGCCACAATGAGTTGTACCAGGTGTTAATCAGTAGGTAGGTTTTGTTGTTACCTTCTGATAGAGCCAGCTTAGCTGTTTCCTATCTGACTGCTGGCGACGTCAGTTCTCTCATCCTAAAGGCTGATCTACAACTTGCACATAAAGACCAAAGTTTCTGTATTATGTTCATCTTACTCTAAAACCAAAACAGTACATCAAGCTCTCAATCAGCCATATTGATGTAAATAGACCAATGAAGCTGCCCAGAGACAAAACAAAGTTAAGAACCAGCTCCGTTAAATGTAGTTAAATTGTGGGTTCTTGTTGAATTAAGGTCAAACACAGTCTTTCACTGCAGACAGAGGGACTTTTATCAGAGCAGGTATTCCAATTTCTGCCTGCATCAGCCAACACGTACAAACGCCTCGTTCAAACACTCTCCCTCTGTCACGAACACAAACAAACACACACAGGTTCTGTGAAATCGATGCAACAATCTACTCTGCATCCAGGCTGAAGTGACATCACCGCAGCAAAAGAAGAAAGCTCTCTATTCATTCTGTCAGCCTGTTCCTGATTGGCTGAAGGGGAGAGCAGCAGTGGTCGAGGAGAGTGATGTTAGCAGACGGGTAGGAAAGAACGGATAAGGTGGGGGAAGGGGTGGGTTAAAGGAGTGGCATACGGGCAGAAAATTGCTCTGCAACCTTCCTGGACTTATGAGTCCATGGGAACAAATACACAAACAAGCACACTTAAGGATAAAACCTGTGTTATCACAGCACAGAGCAGCCTGAGGCCACAGTCTGGTGAAGAAACAGAACAAAATAGTGTGTAAAGACGAGTAAGAATGAAAGCAAGGAAGAGGAGAGGCCCTTTTCCACCACAATTTCCACAAGAGGATTTTTCTTTTTTGCGTGACCACAGTGAAAACCTCCCTGACAGGACTTCTGTCTAAGACTTTTTTCAGGGGAGAAAGACGTACCTACTCTGGGAAGTAGCCCAGAAAAACGTTTGGGTGAGGCTTAAAGCTGAAGACAACCATTTAAATTACAAACAGATGAAAAGTAAAAATTGAAATTGGAAAATGATGGCAGCTTTAAACTTACTGTTCAAAGAGAGTGAAAGAGAATGGGACAACAAACGGCTGTGGGTGACCGAGGAAGAAAGTGAATGAACAGTATATAAGAAGTGGTAAATAAGAGAAATAAAACACAATTTTTGTGATTCATATAAAATAGATACAAATCACTAATAAATACACCATATTCATATCTCCACATATACCCAAGGGAAGGTGCTTTTTCTAAATGAAGAGAAGGCTTCTTCCAGTTTGCTGTCAATGCTTGATGTGTGTAAGTGCGGCCATCGCACTGCCCTGAAGCTCTGATGCAGACGCAGACAGCTGAGATACAACCTGGCTGTTACGCGCGTAAAAACAGCTGTCAGGACTAATTTGCCTAAGCTTCACAGGTCTTCACTGCAGTAGAAACACAGACAGACAACAACAATCTGAAGGAAAATTTTAATCCCTGAAAAAAAAAAAAGTTTTGGAGAGACAAAGATTCGAATAATCTAAACAGGAAAATTCTTGTTATGAAGGGGAAGGAACCTAGCTTCCAACGATAAACTTAAACTTTGTAAGACTGTAGTGCCGAAGCACAACGTGTGCTTTGATCTGTAATTTTAAGTATAACTGCCACTATATAAACAAAAGTGAATTTAATTAAATAGAAAACAGGTGAACGATCAGGATCGAGTCCTCACCTCCATGATGGGGTTGGAAGCCAAGACTTTCTCCTCCACATTGGCCTCACTGGCTGAGCCGCTGACCGTAGCAAAGTATCTCATGGCGTATTTGGCTGACACCGTCTTTCCTGCACCAGACTCCCCGCTTACAATAATCGACTGGTTCCTCTCATCCCTGAAATCAAAAAACGAAACAAAACAGCCTTTATAGTTCATGCATGACGATGCTGATAAAGTCCAGTTTGTAGATTACAATATAGTGTTGGGATCATATGGATGTTTTTTTATGTCACTAAATGAAACGATAACACAGGTCTGCAACCAAATAACTGCACAGGATTTTTTGACTGTTTCAGATTTTTACTCACTGAAACCAGGAAATATTTTTTAAATTCCATTTTTCCAGCTTTTCTTGCAAAACTCATATTTTTAGTTTAATTAAGCATACAATTTCCCTTTTTAAACTGAAATCGGGTATCTTATACTTGAGTCAAAAAAAACATATCCAATAATGATTTCGCACATTAATTTAATATTTCTAAGAGCAAGAATCAAGTGAAATGAAGCAAAAGCGTGTTCAGAGGAGCATCGAAGAGAAGAAGAAAAGGTTTCACAGACAAAAAGAGTAAATGTAGTGTTAAACATAATCACAAAGGAATCTGTTTTTTACTTCTTTGTTCAATTATAAGAAAAATTATGCATAGTTAATTGTAATAAAATACATGACGGAGGGAAATGGAGATCATTTTTGGATTCAGCACCCTAAAAATCATCAAATTTACCAAAAATATCCCATGCAGCTGATTTCTTTTTTGCAGACCAGTGTAATTAAGAGAATGGAAACAGTTGGATGCAAATTGCTACAGCTTTCAGTCCAAATTAAATATAGCTTCATAATTAAAAGTGTGACACACACAATTTCAGGAGCCAGATAGGAAGTGTCACATGCTATCATCATCAACACTTTTTCATCCTGCTGACAGAACAAGCATCGCAGGTCTGTACACTTTAATGTATCTGCAGGACACTTTCCTTGTTCTATGCATGAGACATAATCCTTACATACTGCTACTTCCTAAGGCATCACCTTTCTTCTGTAGTTCCAGTTGCAGATCCTACTCCACCTCCAGCCACCGTTTATCCTTTTTGCAGGCTTTAAGGGAAGTTTAATTTCACTCTGATTTGAGTTTACATACATTTAGTTTCACTTCAATCAGTCTCAAACATGTTGCATCAGTTAGGACTCTGAAGCTTTGTGCAAATTTCACTTGAATAAGAACTTGAATAGAATACTAACCTACAGACTTACCCTAGTTTACAATAAACATATGATTATTTAATGATTATAATATAAAGAGGATTGCAACCATGAGATAGTGGACATGTTTGTGGCTGCTGCCTCTGGCCCTCCTTCACTGCCCTGTGGTCTGAGTAAAATTAGTGCAACATCCTGTCAATATTCAATGTGTTAATGATATGAGCCCCCACCAGGAGAGTGCAAAGATCTACTAGTTGGCTCCTGCAGAGAGTCTTTGTGGGCTACGCATGTGATTAAAATAAGAGAGGGAGAGTCAGTGAGACCACCGTGTGGCTATTTCTGGCTTCGCTTTGACCTACAAACTCTAATGACTGAGAGAGGCAGGGCTGAGCAACAGGGAGACTTCAACCAAGCCTGCTCAGGTAACACACACATGCTCAGACAAACCTGGCCATCTGCTTGTAAGCTTCCTCTGCTACAGCGAAGATATGTGGGTCCATGTCGCCCATGTTCTGACCGCTGTAGGCGTTGATGATATCTGTTCCATAGATGGGCAGCGTCTCGTACGGGTTAATGGCCACAAGCACGATTCCTACGACGCGAGGAGAAAAAAACGGAAGAATGAGCTGAACAGCAGCAGGACCACATAAAGAGAAATTATGCTGTTATGATGATAAATGATTAATATAGTTAATTATCTTTTTATCTCATGTGAACTGAATTTGTCTTACAATAATAGCAAACATGTCTTGAGTTTATCAGTGAGGATAATGGAATAAAGTAGCTAAAATGCTGAAGGCAGACAAAGCTTGTTTATTTAAATTAATAAATCTTCCATTATTAAGGTGATTAAAATAAGCTGAGAAATAAAGCTTATATTACTTTCAGCTTTAAAAAGGAACTCTGTGACAATTCAATATTTATCCCTTCAATGACACCATTACTTAACGCTGTAATTTTAAACTTGCAAACATACAGTCTGGCATCTTTGATAGACGAAGCACCTGCTTACCGCAGTAAGTGTAGATAAGCTTCGAGTCGATGAAGCGGACTTTGAGGTTGTGCAGCACTGCTGGCTCGTGGAGGTAGCTGAGCGCTGTGAGGTCATTCTCGCCCACCAAAATGTCAGGATTTCGCAGGTAAGGCAGGTTTTTTGTCTTAGGGTCCAGCTTGTGCTCAATGTTCTGAGGACGACCACAAGAACAGGACTTAATCAAGAAACAGCACATTATTCAAAATATGGCACAACAAGGTATTCGTTTTATTAAAAGATGGTGGATTGGTACAAAATCCTGGGTTAAAATATTAAAATGAGACTTTAGATTTGTTAGAACTTGCAGAAAAACATTCACCCATCTTCTACTCGTCACCAAGGTCCAGGTCACAGGGGCAGTGATGCCCAAACCTACTTCTCTCCAGCTACCATTTCCACCTGTTATGGAGGGATACCGCAATGTTTCCAGCCCAGCAGAGCTGCAACATCCCTCCAGTGTGTCCTGGGTCTGCCCAGAGGTCTCCTCCCGGTTGGACATGACCCAAACAACTCACCCGGGAGGAATCCTAGTCAGATGCCTGAACCACTTCGACTGGCTTCTTTTGATGTGGAGGTATGTCAGCTCTACCCTGTCTCACCAATGACTCGTCAAAAGCTTGTCATCCAAACTCTGAGTCCAGACAACCTCATTTGGACGTCTGGGTTCAGTTAAAAAAACGAAGACACAAATATTCGACTAGGACTAAAAAAAAATGAAGGGACTCGAGCGATATAAGCTATATTACAAGATTTACAGCACTTAAATGTGCTGTTTCTAACCATAATAAGGATCTACCAGCCAAGTAGATTATGTGGTTCTATACAATACAATGTCACCATTAAACTCACTATGCCCACTGATCAAATGATGAGAAGAGAACATGTTTTTTAACCCACTGCTAAAAGGAGAAAAGATCTGCTTTGCTAACATCAAACTAAATTAAGTCCTGCAATAAAATCCACTCAGAGATTTTATCTTTAAACTGTTTCCATGCTGCTGTTTTCTGTCTGGGGCTTTCTGAAGAGATCAGATCATTTATATAACCACTAACAGAGGTCCACGCTAACAGGGTATTTGAACACTATTTCATATCCACGTTCTCAGAAATGTCATGAGACAGGCTACTGATTTTCCACCGCTCAAAGCTTGAGAGTATAAATGTTGTTTTCATTTTCGCTCCCCTCTTTCTGTGTGAAAGCTTCTGCTGCTCGCTCCTTTTATATCTTTGTGAGATGATGTACTGTATTTCAGATACTTGTCTGATAAGGATATTTGGTTCGGTAAGAGGAAATCTTCAGGAAAACAATATCAAGATTGAGACAGATTAGCTACATGTTTCACAGAATAATTGAGTTATTATGATCAGCAGAGGTCATCTAACACACATGAGCATATTGCACCAAAGCTGTATAACTATTCAATTTAATCAAAATCAGAATTCTTATCATTTTGCATATTTTAATTGCTTTTTGGAAGAAAAAAAAAATTAGTTTCGGTTTGAGTGGATTTGCTCATTAAATTTTTTGGGGTTTTTTGAAAATGCTTTGTTTTAGTGTCGACTTTAGTCTTGTTAATTAGTTAATTTGGAGGGTATACGCAGGGTAGGTGACTCAAAAACAACAACATCTGCCTCATCAGACAGAAGACGTCTTCTATACATTTATCTTATTTTTATATTTTTTCTAAGTCTGGTTTTGAATTGAGTTATTTCATTTTACTGAAAGAGGTTTTTGCACCTATTTTCATTTTTAATTTATTTTTACTCAGCTATAGTAACCTTGGCTAACCTGGATTGTTACTACTTTTATGGCAGCGTAAAGCCCAGGGATAGGTAGTTTGTGACATTTAGCTTGAACAAAAAGGAAAAAACCTCATGAACCTCCATCTGACCTTTACTGACACCCAAAATCTGTTGATTGTTCTTTGGCACTTTTCAACAAATTAAATTTTAAATGTTTGAAGTTTTAGCGATATTAAGCAGCTGAGAAGCTAAACAGAACAAAACCTTTATCCTATTCTTCATGCCCATCATAAAAACAACAAATTTTGGAGCATCTTTTGGATGAATGATGCTTCATCTCCACAGACTTGGAGAATCGATACTAAGATGTGTTGAAGCTGTTCTGATAGGAAGCAGAAGCTCAACACACTCGAGACACTTTATGTTGGTGTTTCTTTCGATTTGTTAATAGTCTGTGTTTTTAAATATGACTGCATAAATCTTAAATCACTACGGGCAATATAGTAAATGGTTCAGCCACTATCAGGCATTCATTTAAATGAGTGCCTCATGGTAAGGAATAGCTTCATGCTGGTAGCTGTTTTTATTCTAAGCCAACAAATTAAATGTACTGAGATACATTAAAAATGCTCCACGGGGCATCTTTGCTTCTGCTACATCTCATTAGTGGTTATTGGTTTTATCATTAGCGCTCTCCATAAAGGAATCCTGCAGAGAGACAGAAAAACCAAGAGAAAGAAGAGGGGTGGGGGGGGAAAACAAAGAGGAAGAGGCTGTTTCTTCCCCCACCCTGCTCCTCTTCTTATCATCCTCACCTTTCCATCTTCCAGCATGAGCTGCAGGGAGACATCTCCACTTTTGTAGTCCTTGGTGAGCTCAGCAGACTTCCACACCTCCTCTACATCAGGTATCCAAACCCGAGCACACTGAGACACAGAAAAACACACACAAAAAACAAAAACAGATAAAGTTAGAAACCAGACATGTTATTTCACATCAGGTACACAATAAAGTGCTTTAATACTTGCATAAAAACTGCAGAGATGCTGCTGCGTTTATAGTATTAAACACAGGACCGTTTCTATGGACATCCAAATTTCTATCGTTTTCCCAGCCATGATTTTTAAATCAAATTATCCATCCATCCTTCTATCACAGGGTCGCCGGGGGGTGCTGGAGCCTATCCCAGCTATTGTAGGGAAAGAGGTGGGGTACACCCTGGACAGGTAGCCTGTCTGTCACAGGGCTAACACAGAGAGACAGACAACTATTTACACTCACATTCATACCTATGGGCCATTTCTATGTGTAATTTAAAAAGAAACAAACAAACAAAAACAACCCATGCTTTCTGCCCTTTTTACAAAATAAGGTTTTTTCTCCTCCCTGGAAGTTATACACATATAACCATCTTCGCTGTTGCAGAATTCTTCCATAAATTTGAACTCCCGATTCACTGAGTGACATATCTCCCCTTTTCTCACATCTCTGGATAAACCCACTCCACCTGATGCTCCATGCCAACACAAATCACTTAGGTTTCCTTCTGCTCAATTCAAATGGAGGAAGACAACAGGACAGTTTTACTAAAACGCCTCCTTTTTAATATATCCAATATATCCTTTTAATATCCGTGACCTCAGAGAAAACACTGGGTTCTGTGTTTCACAGTCATGAGAACTCAGCTCCTAATGGTCAGTTAAGTTATAGGAACAAACAACTGAACAAACACTAGCTTATACTGACTAAAGAAAGCAGCAGTGGATCTTGCATGATGATAACTTCAAACCCACAAACACACAGGCATCACCAGAAAAGTGTTTCAGGCCTTACATACATGTGACCGGAGGCAATCAGCTGATCACAGAAATGTGAGAATACAGTGATGGACGCTGCCGGTCACATGGCTGAAGAGACTAGCTTATAAATGGTGACGCATGCCCACACTTATGCAAGGAAGCCCAACTGTACAGGAGTCAGCTGGAGAACCATGCAGCATATTTAACATTACAAAAGGGGGAAAATGAACAGGAATAACTTTTAATACAGAAATATTAAAAGTGCCAATGTTTTCCAGAGCATCTAATGAGCACATGACGATAAAAATCCTTGTTGAGCTTTCAGGAACGCTCTCAGGCCTAAAGGATTTTTTTTTAACCTTCATTACGTAAACTGCTCATGACGATTTCACAGACGCAAAAGACAAAGACCTCACTGTAGAGGAGCATAACGGGAGAATAAGTGGTTAATTTTGTCTGCTGCTTCACTACCGATCATCTGAATCATGACCTCATAGTCACACAAATCCTCATGAACCCTCCCTTCATAGTGCATGAGAGTGGCGGGGGTGAAATGGCAGCTTTAGCAGAGAAACTGTTGAGTCTTAATATTTTAGAGCCTTGTGAACCAATTAGGGTTTTTTTCACCTGTAAAAAAAGTGCTGATTCTCATTCCAGCCCCGTCACAATTGTCTGCAAACCACCTCAGGTGCACTGGTAAGTTTTGGTAAAGACAGAGCTGACTGTGAAAACAAAACTATTGGTTTATCGGTCGATCCAAGTCCTCCCCTCATACCTCATGGTCCCAAGCTTGGGTAGTGACCAAAAGAATGAGATTGCCGGGGAGAGGGAGCCTGCCATCGCTGCTGAGAATGCTGCCCCATGGCCCAGACACAGAAAGGGATAGATGATGGATGGAAGCTCTATCAAGTCCTCAGGTTATGCACATTATTCCTATCTCTCTCTCTTTTGGTGCAGAAACACTAAACACTGTGACCTGTATAGTTAGGCTATGTATAGTGTGGCACTTAAGAAAAATGAGAATGGCACTTAGAAATGAGCGAGCATCTTTGTAAGTTAGAGGATGAAGAAAATTTGAAAAAAAGAAGAAAAAAAAGAAATGCATGGAACACAGTAAATAGGGAATATTTAAGGTGTGTAAAAATAGGATACTATCACATTAAAACGAAAAAAGTGAGTTGTGTTCCCAAGAGGTTAAAAACTAAAACTCTTAAAAGTCAACTCTTCCATTGAAGCAGTGTTGTTACCCAAACTGCCAGGTTTTGGCATCCATATAAAAGGGAACCAGTGCAGGACACAAAATTACTGGGATGAAGTTAGAACTTGTATAGGTGGCCTACGAGGTTAAACCACCAATGGCACCTACCAATGATTGGCAGATTCAGCCCCGAATCCCCCAGGTGGAAATTACTAGAGCTGTCCTGAATACCATCTTTTAAATGTCTGAGTTAATAATGATAATAAATAGGAAATATTTAAAGCTTTGCCCGACTAAGGGGGTAAGAGGGTCAAATTAGATAACAGCAATGTTGTCTGACAATGTGCTACACTTGGAGAGAAAGGCAGAGGCAGCACAATGTCACACAGGGAGTGCACAACTCTGTCTGGGTGCTGCTGCTTGCTGAATGGTAGAGAGGAAGTTGTGCGTTACCTCAGAGTGACCCACAAGTCCCAAAGGTTTTTCACAAGAAGCCCATTTGAAAGAGAAAAAAAAAAACACTACAGGGGCTAATTAGCCGCAATAAAGTGAACACATCAATTTTTAACATTCGTTACAGTCTCAGAAATTACAGCTCTCATGTGGACTGGTTCTCCAAACAGCACCAAGCCTGGATATGCAGCAGCAATCTATTAGTAGAAAAGAAGTATATAAATGCTTTTGTGACAGTGGATCCAAAGTTGGATTTTTAAAGGCCTGCAAATGACCATTTAAAGTCTGCAAAATGCACAACAGCTGCTTCTACAGTAGCAAAAAAATCTTTACTAGAAGTGCCTTATAGTCCCCGTGTTGTGACATTTTAAAGTTGGATATCTTTTGCATTTCTGTACTGCAATTACTCACCAGCACCTACTTTATCGCAATACCAGCATGTCATAGATAAGCCAGTACTAGCTGATAAATCTACAAATATGAGCTAATTTATGTATCACACTCTGAGTTTATCTAATACTGAGACAATAAGTGTTATGTTTGTTGTATTCAGTATGTTTGAAGACAATGAGAGACGGAGAAACTGCACATCTATGCGTCTGTGGCGAGTTACACATGAAACAGCAGCTAAAAGGAAGAAGCTCTCACACACCGGCCAAATGATCAAACCACAGGATTCAACCACATTACTGTCTGACACCGATGCTCGCTATCATCTGCAGCATCAAACCTCCTGCCTTATCTCTCATAAGAGGCACTTTGTTATTTGAATTCCAGTGGATTTACAGTAATTTTATTCAAAATTAAATAAATAGATAACTCTCTACAAGAGAACAGAACAATTTTAGTAAAAGTGACATTCTTTTGGGATGGCTGCTGAGATCATTTTTAGAGAGGCTGCTGGTAAATTCTGCTACGTCGCTTCAGATGAGCCACTTTTAATGTTCATTACTGGAAAAAAATCAGACATGATCAAATGCATGTTTTCTTAAATGAAAGCATGAAAAGGAGCAACATTCATCGACATGCCAATGGCCCCTACCAAGCTTTCTCCAGACATTTTGATCCAGTTTATTTACACAATCACAACAACAGTGGCCTCAAAACCTTTATACTGCAAGGTAAAGACTATAAAAAGAAACCTCTGGCTCACGGAGAGGCAACCATCTGCCTAAGACAAGTATAAACACCACTCTGCAAGGCAAAAACTTATCAAACAGCATGTTTGACTGAGCGGCACAAAACTCCTAAAACAAGAAAGAAGGTAGATTTAAATGAAACGTCCTTTTTAAGCTTTTACTCATGAAGGTTTAGGTTCTTTTCATGTTTATATCGGTGTTTTCTCTCCGTTTAGTCTTCTCAAAGCAGCACAGGCTGTACAATCATGTTAAAGATTGTGATCTTAATATTACAGGTCAGGTTATTGGCATAGCTGCTGGAAAACTGGCCTTACTCTACCAGCCCGTACAGCAGAAACTGTTCCTCCATGCTCAGCTCATGTAAACGCATAAAAAGCTTTCCACCATTTTCCTTCCAACTTCAGAGAGATTTTGCTTTGTGCCAGATAACGACCACCATCATTAAATCATGGTCGATATGTTTGGTTGTGGCTTTAAAGTTGGCAGCTGTAACTTTCTTGTGAGGAAAGTTTGTTGGAATAAAAAGTGGGAATAAAAAGAGGGCATACTGCATAGGCTGGATCTCGGGAGGATAGTGTAAGTTTTCTATCAGCCAAACAGAATATTTTAAAAAAAGGAGGAAATGATGAAAAGTTTTTCAGTATGGACTAGTTTTATTCTAGAAAATAAACAAGGGCTTGTTGAACCCATAACCTTTGTATTTTCTCTTATTGAAGTCTTTTTTTCTTATCAAAAATATTAATCCAAGAAAAACAGAGTCCAGTGCCCCCGGTACAGACAAGAATCAAAGTTTTTCAGTAACATCCACCCAACACTGTCCTTTGATAATTAGCTGTATTCAATGAGCAGGATTTGAATGAGAATGTAATTTACGCATTTCTTTTTTTCTGTGTCACTTGCAAAACTATATCTCACTGCATACTCTGGTAACAAATAACAGAGCAACAATACGTTGGCTCCATAGTGAGTTCCTCATCCAGTGAACAGACTCAAACTGCCTCATCTCCTCTGCAGCCTTGGTGAGTTTGGCGTACCTGTACATAAACCAGTTGTTCACCTGATTAAATTTCTGGTTAAAGTGATCCTCCAGCGTAAAAGTGGATCTTCAGATGACCCAAACAAAGGCTACCGTTTCCAGCTGCAGTCCATGAGTGTGGAGTTGGAGCCTGTTCAACTGCAGTATGAGAAACTCTCTGCAGAGTCTATTTGGTTCGCAGCAACTGAAATTTCAAAGTAGGAGCGAAGGGATTTTCCACTGGCATGGCAATCACAGATAAATAAGACACAAAACACTCATAAGTGGTTGTTAATATATATGATTTCTATACACATAAAGC